TTGTATTAGAGGGATCTTCTGATAAATTCTATAAAATTTCGTCTCACTTGGGACTTTTTTAAAATTCAAACCTTGAAAAAACGACAGCAAAAATTATATTCCTTCAAGAATTTTAGGAGGCACGTGTAGTGCAGTGGTTAGAGGTGTTCCATAATACACGCGTAACTGCGCTCTGATTCACCAAGCCTTCCATTCCTGCGAGATCGCTAAACTAGTACCATATAACTCTGAGAGGCTAGCAGCATTGAGTTTACATTTCGATGGGCGACCGTAAGTCAAGTATAGACCAGATGTGCCTTCAGTCACTTCTAATGATTCTTAATGAAGTCCAATGTATGGCGCATCCCTCTGGAATTGTTCAACACAGACCGCTCTATCATTTCTACCATTTAAAAAAAGTATATTAGCGCAATAGTAGCGATGGGAAGTATTCTGTCGTGTTTGACGAAATTTTCCTCTTCAAATACGTCACTATTCGAAAGATGAACCTAAATATGAAAAAGCAAGCAAAAAGTTACCATATGCGTTGATATCAATCGTATACGTGGGGGCAGAGTAGAGTGAACGCATTGACTTCAAATCATATTGTTTCGTGGTTTGCGAAAAGCCGTCCTCTATACTTAATGATTTATAAAAACCTTTTCTTGCATGAATCTATTGCCTTGATTTGAACCATGCGGCAGGTACTAAGATCTTTCTGAGATGTCTTGTCGACTTGTCTCGTCTATAACAGTTTTCACTATCTACTAACTGCTGGTGAGCCAGCAATATTTCATGTCTGTATTTTGATAGTAGTTTGAACCGAAGATCGAATTTAAAAATAGAACAAATGCTTCAATAATCGGTCAGTCGTAGCAGTGAAGTCATTCTCATTTGAGAACAGCACTGGCCAGTGAGCCTTGATTGAACGTCTTCTTTCATCATACTCAAAAGTAGGTTATGTTTGAAAGCATAACAAGCCATGTAGAAAAACGTAGACGATATGTAGAACATAAAAAGAAGTAGAACTGGTAGCAAAATGCGTGAGAAACTCTCATTTTAGATAGAAGAAAATAAAGGGATCGTGCTCATTTTCGGGACCGGAAAAGTGAATCGCATGCATTGGCTTTAATGCACAACGTCTTCAACGAACAGGTTATCCGTGATATAAAGTGGTCGCCAAATGCAATACTGGACTTAGTCACTCATGTCTTAAAACTGAAATTCTTTCTGTGAGCCCACGTGTCCGTTGCTTGCTCATATAATGTGACTCATATCGGGCCGTACATCTTAACTTTTGTTTTGTAAAGTTTTTAAAAGTGTCGTTATACCACCCCTTATTATTGCCCATTGCAAGACGGCAGCTAGTCAGTGAGGATTCGTTGTCCAAAGTGTTACATGAGCACATTAACTCTTCCGCTCAGAATCGTAATGAACTACGCCACATTTCGTGTAAAGATGTACTGCTAGAACATATGGCGATACTAACTTCAATTCATCCTGAGATACTAAGACAGGCACGACTCTTGACATTAACGTTCTTTCAACTCGTGGTAAAAAACAAAGTGTGGATTGTAGTACTTCGAAGATTTATTACGTCATTCTTTTCCTACAAACACCTTGATATCAACTTTGTTACAGTAATAGTAGCGTCTTCAAAATCTTCACATTAATGACCATTATGCTATCAGAATAGTAGACGACTTATGTTAACGTTAACGTCAATTTATCATGCGGTTCAACAACTGCTTTGAACACACTAAATGATAAAAACTGAATTCAGTTCATGAAATTATTTTCTTTCAACATATAGCGATGCTCAAATCACGACAATAGTTGCCGAATGTACTTTCTTCTGTTTCATGAGCATTTCTTTCATAATCCGTGATTCCCAAATTTCACGAATTCGACAGACGTTCATCCGCCATTAAACAAATATTTTACAAAAGAAATGAGGGAGGAAAAGTACAAATAACCTAGCAAACCTACACCACTACATTAGTAGAACAAAGAATCTACGATTGCTTTGTTCTTTTTTTTCAATTTGAACCTGTTTTAACAGACTTTAACGTACAACGTTTACATTATGGATTAATCTAATAATTAACAGCATAGTAGGACCAGGGAAGCGCAGTGGTATTGATACCCTTCAACGCGGCCAAGGCAGTGGTTCGACGATAGCCAGCCAAACTTCGCATCCCTCCCAGGTTCGGCGGTTGGTAACAGCCTTGTCTAGGAAGCTCTCCGCGCTCCAAGTGATCCAAAAACGCCGTAGCACAGCTATCCCAAGATCGGCTTTCGGTTAAGGAGAATTGACTGAGCCAGCATTCACCGAAATGCATAAAGAGAATTGAAAATCCTCAAGCAGCATCGAATCCCATGCACAAAATAGTTCAATGACCTTCGCGGAGAGTGTATGTGAGGAAACGAATCGAATGGGAAAAGTGCTATGATGTGCATAACATATGCAAAGACGTGCCGCAGTTAATCTAACGTTTTCCATGCTCTAAAGAAATAGATATCACTGAAATGTTGGTCATTTTGGAATGATATGTCAGCAGTTCTGTAACACCCTATCAAAAGCGAGGTGACAACCAGTGTCCACGTTAAATTAGAACGGCTTATAGGAACTATTCTATGCCAATCAAAATGACATAGAACGTCGAAGATGTTGGACCTGAATGTGGACAACCCAACCTATTTTGTTGGCACACAGTGTGGACGCCTTACGAACGACAGTTCATGGCCGCCCAGCGGCCCCACCTCCGCGACACAGTTTTCGCCGACGAGACCCGCCCGTCGGCGCCGGCCCTCCTCGGCCTCCTCTCGGGCCCACGCCGCCATCCGACGTCGATACGCTCGCCGACCCGTCCCGACCAGACACGTTCTCTCGCCCCTCCTCGGTGGACATGCTCCCGGTCAACCCACTAAAGTTCTCTCGTCTCTGCGTTGCATCTCAGTATCAAACGTCCCTTAATTCCGTATATTATCCACCTCCGCACAATTGCATAGTATTATACTAAAACCGGCTTGTATAGTACAAATGACTTGTCTCAACAACATGTAACGGTAGTACTATTTGTATTCACCTCCGCTCGCTTTTGATCTTCTGTATGTGCTGTGTTGCCAAGTTATGCGTTAAATTACGCACAGTGAGCGATTATGTAAATATGATTCGTTGACAAAACAGACCTTCTGTTCCGTCGTGAACACGTTCTTCGGTGTCTGAGACGCCATCCCAGTACGTCGGTCGTTTTTGGGTTCTTTACCAGCAGCCTAAAATTCTCCTTCTTTAAGTCGCCATCTAATGGATGAGGTGTTGAACGTGTAGGTTGAAGAATTCTTCGTGAATGTAATTGCGCTGTCTTTGGAGAAATCAATATTTCTGGTATCTATACACATATGCTTTTGTTTATGTTTTATCTGCAAGAAGCTTACATAAAAACGACACACGAATCGATTTATGAAATATGTGGAGACTACAATACTTAGGGCTTATTACCGATTTGCTTTTTAATAGTCTCCCTAGCCTTATGGAAATCGGCTACTAACTCATTGCCTTCTTTCTAAAGACTTCATTCGATTCTGTTAATCTGTGACATTGCAGTTCTCCTGCATTCTTTGATTTGTTCGTTGGTTTAAATAGCTATAGTTTCATGCATTTTTGTAGAAAACCTCTCAGTTCTACTATGAAATTTCTGGTAGTATTGTCCGTCTTGTTCGCGTACGCCTTGGCCTCTCATCACAGCGCGGACCCGGACAAGGACGTATCCCATCAGAAGGTGAATTTACGGGTTCATTTCAAATATTCAGAGATTCTATCTTTTTCTTACACGTAATCATATGTCTGCAGTTCGTTTTGCTAAGATGTACTTGTTCGGGGGTTGAGGGGTAGAGAAACAGTTGTGCCAACTGGCCACTTTACAGCAATGTCGATTCTTTCAAAAACGGTCGCGCCTTAGTTTACTTGGTGACCATAGTGGATCTGAAGCGTATCATCTTTATCAAAGTAGTAAGTGTCCTGTCAACAACAATTTTAACTATTTAAATGCCTATGAAGAGTGTATTTCAATGCGTACAAACTTTAATCCGATCGGAACTAGCTTAGACTCCGGAACACTTCGAAAACTACAAAAATAAATAGAGATATCTCTGACATTACTTTCACTTAAAAAATAAATATATCTACCAAGTGCTGGAATTCTTTCCACTGAACCAAAATTATAGTAGTCTTCATTGAAATATCGTTTGTGGTAGATAAAGCTGACTTTATTCTGTTGTAATTTGTAATGTGTTCTCATGCGCTGTAATAGAAGCTGCAACACCTCCATAGATTATGAGGAAGGTTTTCTCAGGGAACCTGCCAGGAGCTCTTTACCCGCCAAAACTCGGAATCGGAATTAAGAGCAACTTTCCTGGAATGATACTTGGAAAAATCAGAATTCCTCGGCATGTCCGTTGCGGCTTTGATCGATGTGTTCAAAGAGCGCTGTGAACGCTTGTTACATCGAATTGTCGAATATTTCGGGAGGTGAAACTGCTACACGTTACACGAAAAACCAGTAACAGTGTAAAAAAAATATATTACTAAAGAGTCCCATGTTACAACTTACTTCCTATCATTTTGAAAGACTCAAAATCTATTGACAAGACGTGCCAGATGTAGTTTCCTTTAAAACTCTTTAAATGCAAATACGATGTTCTAAGCATCTTATTGCATCTTCTGCAAATGGTGAATTCAAACACTCCATTAAAATGTAGTTTCCATTGAGATTTTATTTCGTGTGGTTTTTTTTCTTGACTCTGTGTTACTGTATTGAAAAGTCCATTCAAAGTGATTAGCGACTAGAATATTATTTGGAAGTAGAGAAGAAAAGAACGAAAAGGATGGGCCAACGGCAAAGAAAACAACGTAGTAGAATCCTAGGGTCACAATTGCTTTAAACGTTATGTAATCCGAGTGAAAATCTCGTACACTTTCTCATTAGTGACCTGGTTATGAACCAAGTATATTGACCCTGTTGGGTGCAGTCGCAACCACCTCTTGGTACTTCGTAATTGTTAAGGGAACTGAGCACGATGTCAAGTACGATCACGATCAGTTCCTTGGGAAAGATGCTGCGGCTGAGTTCGATGAACTTACTCCTGAGAAGTCCAAAGAGAGACTCGCGTACGTTGTTTTGTTCCTTGTGATCAACTATATTCTTGCGAAAAATTTTATACAGAAGTAAATATGTGGGTTTTAGTAGACTCTCAAGTTTTATGTTTTAGTAAAATTTTGACACTTGAACTGTATTATATAATAAAGATTAAACGATAAGGTGTTGGGCACTGATAATTCACTTAGAGATGCGTTACGTATTTGACTCCCTTTGTAGTAGCATCGAGATGAATGAGTGCATATCTGACCCGATGTAGTAGTGGCCTTGTCGTTGTCAGTGATTTTGTCCACACAGAAAAATCTGATACCAGTTTGCCGAAATCAAAGGATTGAAGATTTTATTTGCCGGAAACACGGGATCGAACCAACAACTCTGCGTGTATTGTAGGGCATCTCTAATGAGACACGAATCCCATCATACAATAAGAGAAACTGTATAATAGTTGTGGTAATTTAGAATGTTGGTTCCCAAGATGGATTCCGATGGAGATGGGTTCGTTGAAGAAAAAGAGTTGAAAGAGCATATCAATTTCATGCAGAAGAGGTAGATAAGATGATAGCTATCCACTGATGGCTAAATTTATTTCATATCAAAAATTTTATTCCAGGTACGTTAACAACGATGTGGAGCGGACTTGGAAAAACTATAAAAAGGAAAAAATACAAGATGGAAAGATCAAATGGGAAGACTACAGGTTCGATTTTATCTTGTGATTACTCACATGATTACTACTTAGATACATAGACGACGTTTCGTATGTCGTGCGAGTCCCAGCACTTCTTTCATTCGTTTCGTTGTATTGCAAATATCATTCATAGTGGTCGTGTTCGGGTGTAAATTCGGCTGAAATTTGAGAATCTATGTGTTTCTATATTCATTCACATACTAAGTGTTACTCGTTCGTTATTTTCTCTTGAAATCCGAGATAGCCATGTTGGGCGACCACGGATTCTCAATACAGACAGTTAGTTGCCTGCATTTGTATACAAGATGGAAAGTCGTTGCTGTGTGACTCCAGTTCTTCTATAACAGCACAGAATTGTGCAATTATTCGATCGAGTGCCATGTTATGATAAGCTGGACCCTCCTCATATTGCTATTATAAAGAAGAGAGAAAAAAGTATAGCTGACTCGTGATGTTCTTTCCAGAGAGATGGTTTACGGATCGCCTACTGGTGAGGGACAGGAACTCTCACCCGAATACGCGAAAATGATAGCTAGAGATCAGAAGAGGTGATTTAGCTAGACCGTTGGTTTTACAGTACGCAGTCAACATTGTTACTTATCCCGGCACTTAGACAGGCTATTTGGTCCTTATCGTAATATTTGAGGTGGAGTGTGGCTGACTACGATTTAGACGGCTCCCTTGATCGTACTGAGTATGGTTGCTTCATGCATCCGGAGGATTGCGACCATATGCGTGATGTTGTCGTGGCGGTATATTTATTTTTATGATTTAATAACTTTAGCCATCAGAGGGGATATAGCAAATACTGGCCATGTGTGTGATCGTGTGCGGGTGCGTGTACATATGTGTATGCGTATACATAAACTTTATTTATGTATATATATGTACATATATATATGCATATATATTCATGCGCGTGTGTGCGCGCCCGCTTGTGTTTGCACGTGTGTGTCTATGCCTCGGTGTATCTATGTACCTGAATAGTTATGGATGTGTATATGTGTTTACATATATATGTGCGTTTGTGTGCAAGTTTGTTGCACATATATGTTTGTGCTTACTTATATGTGTGGGTGTGTGTGTGTTTATTTAAGCGGTTTAGCTTCAAATATGTATTACAGGAGACTGTTGAAGATATCGATAAGAACAAGGATGGCTATGTTGATGCAGAAGAATACATCGGAGATATGTATCGACCTGAAGACTATCCAGAGCTTAATGGGAAGGTATACCGATAACGGTGTTCCTTTTCATATATGACTGAAGCCAAAAATAACTTTTAAAATCCAAAAACTGCATTGTAGGAGCCCGACTGGGTTCAGTCTGAACGCGATATGTTCAAGGAGCATAGAGACAAAGACGGAGATGGAAAGCTCAATCAGGTTAGTATAGCAGTTATTCGGCACAACAAATCAATGATCTCTTGTTTTTAACTTTGATTTCAATGAAGTTTTAATTAACCAAGCTTCTTCATAAAGGAGGAGATGAGAGACTGGATCATGCCAGTTGGATTCGACCACGCCGAGGCTGAAGCTCGTCACCTTGTCGGCATTGCTGATGATAATAAGGCAAGTTTCTGGTTACCGGAACTCTTCATATCAGTGAAAATGACTGGTATTCGTATTACTGAGAATGTGTTTTTGCACCTCGGAGTGCAAACCTGCGGCGCATTGTATATATTTGCGTTCAGGTCATCAGTTATTAAATTGGAGCACTCTTACTTGTTATGATCGGCTCAGAATTGTTAAATTAGGACGTACTTGTTTATTGTAGCCGAGTTTCGGTTAGAAATGAACTCCGTTTTCATTTCGTTGGTGTATTTTGCACCAGTTTTTTCAAAGAGCCACTATATTTCAATCTGTTCTATTAGGATTGCTAGGCTCGTCGCACGCGGCGAATTTTATTTTAAAAACCAATTACCAGTGGGAATTTCAACAGCACAGTGGTCTCCAACAAGTATTTCTGAATTTTTTGTTGCTTTAATAGCAGTTCACCGGAATAATATAGTCCTTGAACAATTTCTATTTCATTCGTATCCTACTTGCTACGCAAGCCTGTTTTCTTTGTAATCTTGCGATAATCGTGCTGTAGCCTTATGTGTAATGAATTGCGTGAGGCTGAAGTGGAGGAAAATCGAAATTTCATATATATATATATACATATATATTCTGAAGGAACACCTGCAGTGCTGTGGTTAGGGGCCCCTTCATTACATATGGGATCGATCCCGCACCCACTCTCACTCGCTCCAGGTTCACCAAAGCTTCCATCCCTCCTGGGTCTGCAAATTGCTACCAGACTTGTCTGAGGGGATAACGGCACTGACTCGATACATCGGCAGATCACGGCGAGTCACTGTATACGCTAGATTGCATTAAATCTCCTCTATCAATGCTTGATTATGTCAAATTTTTTTTATCCTTTACATGTGTTTTCTAGGGCAAATAGTTCGCTTTCGCAGATTTTCATGAGAGCCCCATATTTTTCAGGATGGGAAATTATCGCTAGAAGAGATACTTGTTCATTACGACACGTTCGTAGGCTCGCAAGCCACGGATTATGGTGAACAGCTTCAGAAACACGATCCGGCTGAGCTATGAGATGATGCGCCTAAGAAAATCTGTCAGAAAAATAGACTGCCATGGCTAACAGCATAGCAGAATGGTTAGCGAGTGCCTTGTTCTTTTTCCAATAATTGCTAAAAACTGGTCATATCTTATTTTTGTTTTTCTCGCCCATTTATATGATAATTGTTGGCCTATCTTGACTCTCACTTGTGTTCATTATCGTTGTACTTGTGTTATATAATTATTTTATGTCTAATAAATGTCTCACATATGTCAGAAGTTTTGTCGGATATATATATGTATATATATATATATATATACATATATACATACGTACTTGCATGTGTATATATGTGTGTGTACGTATGTATACATACACACGTATGTATATACATATAATAGTTGCTGGATGGTTTAAATTTTCATTACTGTGAAAGCAAAAGTTTGAAAAAACGAGGAATGTTGACCGCTGAATCGGAGCAAATTTTTGGAGTTAAAATTACACTGCCATTTAAGGTTAATTTGAATGGAGTTCTGCCTGAGCTAGTACAGAAAGCAGAAGCAGAATTCCACAGTCCCGTTTTTTTAGATGTTGAGAAATGTGCATTGGTGTCACGGAAATGTGTTATATATGCAGCTGCCCACGAACGAATTTCTGAGTTCTCTTTACAGGAACTCACATTACATGTGGTGTCAATTCCAGCACTTATTTCATTCGACTCGCTTCTTCGCATCTGTCATCCAAGAAATTCGACCTTTTCGCGTGTGGATTTGGCTATTGGTTGAGGATTTCCAGTCAACTTTATAAACAATCTTGAATGCTGGTTGAATCGATTCTTCTTAACCCTGAGAGAACATTGCTAGGGCGTTCCTAGATTTTCATCATAGCCAGTAACACGCTTTTATAGATTTGCGGGAACCATTTTATCCTACGTGGGTCTAATATCTGATATGTGGAATTTTCCGTCTTCAAGGGAATGAAAGGCACGATAGACCAGGGGCATGGACCGAAACGGCTCCTTGCTCGTATTGAACGTTACGGCCACCTTCTGTCCTTCCTATATGCATTTCACTTTATTGGCCGTATTTTCATCAACTGCTGCAATAGTTTAATGCCACATTCCTCTATCTGTAGAACAATAAAGTGGAAAGGGGTTCTGACCATAACAGGAGTGGGTTCTTCCAAAGTTATGAAGAGCTCGACATTTTTATTCTGAAGCCTATCTAAGGATAGGCCAATACTAGGACACTGCAGTCCTGGTAGCACCTAGACACGAGAGAGAAAATGACACTGTGACGCTGACTTATAGCTGAATGTGGTTAGGACTCGGCGAAACACTAACCTGGTTATCTCGAGACTCTAGGATGAGGAGATTTTTTGCGGCTAGGCAACTGCCAGTTAAACGGGAGTTGCTTTGGAGCCCACGCGATCCTTCGTGTAGACGAACCACTCGACCACCCATCTAAGTAATGTCATCAATCCTGTTGAAATCCTTCCATATTTGGTGCCTGATAAGCGTGATGCTTCTTCTCTGTCTTTATTTTCGACATCGTGAGGGCTAGAATTTTACACAGCAATTTTTTTGGCACATGAAAACGTAATGTCAAGTTGGGCAGTATTTTTAGAAAGTCCACCATTTGTCGGCATTATAGAATACGTCTTTTTCAGCGGCTGCAGAATATTTTGGCATTCAGATTTCACGATAAGACAAAATAAACCATCTTACAGATTTCACATCTAAATTCCTATCAACTATTCAGCAACTGGTCGTATACTCGACGTACGGCTCATTTCTCTCAAAGAGATGCCTTCATGTCGGTCTTGTATTGGAACCATAATTTCTTCCGCATCATACTGAATAATACAAAATATATCTAAAATAAATGAGCACTGGATGAAATATAACAGTAATACGCCTGATAAGAGCTGAAATGTTCTTGTAGTCATAGGGGTTTAGCACACAGGGGCTTACTGTATCAAGGTTATACCATGCATAATATTTCTAGCATATCTTGCAGTTGTGCAATTCATTGATTTTTAAATCAGAAAATATCCGATGAAACATGCAGTGGCTAGAATGGTGCGTTGCTAGAAAATTTGTATTAACTAATAGACTTTATCAGCGTAGTTAACATCACTGATTAAGACGGAGATTCTACAGGAGAACGGAACGACTGCGAGTTCGAAAGAGTTTAAAGACAACTTTAACATTAAGGGCAAAACTTTAACATTATTATGCCATTACATATATAAAATTCTCTAGAAGCGATTGCAACGGAAAATGTTTTGAACATGGTTGGCTGGTAATCGCGAGGTAATGAAATGTTTTCCAGAAGATAAGGAGCACTCTTGGAACTGCACAGAAATGGAAGTAAAAGAGTGGGGGTGGATTCGTAAGCCGAGACCTATCTGGGTGGGGATATCACCATCATCCACCACCACCGCCACCTTCATTGCGCGTCGTCCGTCCCACTTAACCAGCGAACATGTCGCCACTGCTATCGATCGCGATATCGATCGGAATCGCCCACGCATTCGATGTGCCATGTACACGTGAGTTTGATCTCACTCCTGACTACCTCAACCAGAGTTACGCCGTTGTCGAATCTGCCCGCAGCCACTTCAACGATTTGCACACCTACTGCGGTGGAGTGACCTCTCGGCACCATTCGACGTCACTTATTGTGCTGATTTTAGGCGTATTTGATAACTAAAAGAGTTTTCCCTGCTCTATGAACTCAGTCGCAAGATAAGGTGGCAATGCAGTTCATATGCCTGGTTCCTCGTCTCTATTACTACCGTTCTCAATTAACTAGCTCAACCCAAGAACGTAACTGTGTGACTCATATTCCCCTTTCCTCTTCTTTTCTACCGTTCTTTATTAACTAATGAAATAAATATGATACAAAAACGTTTTGATCTTATTTAAGGAAATAACGAAAAATATTTAAGGAGTGATGTCTATGATTCTTCGATTAACATTTGTTATTCACGTAAGAACACTTCATGCATTTTCACTTGCCCTCTTCCTCTACTTACGACATACACCTTCCTCTTTGAGATTTGCACTAGTTATTTCTTCCATCTTTTTTAGGTTAGTACTTGGCTGTTATCATAGAATATGTAGGTTTGTGGTGCTGGTACTTCACTATGTATGATGCTTTGTTTTTCTGCGGTTCTTAACAGCACATTAGTGGGCGCAGTTGCATCGAAATACTATTTAAAGAATGATGTCTTCTGTAGGAAACAAGTTATCGGAAACCATCGATTAGTATTCATGGGTACGATGATGAGTCGTATAAGCCACCTTTCTTAGTTTTTAGAACAAAGTGCTGCAGGCTTAAGTACTAAAAATGCCTGGGTATTTGAACATTTTCCTCTATGTAAACTACAAACCTGGTTTTAAAAAGTGTTTCAGAGAAACTCATCGGCAATAGATGTTTATTCGATGAAGAATGTTATGGAATGAATACTGTCTGCCGGAACGCCAGATGCACATGTCCAACCAATTTTGAAGAGTTCGATATCGATGACAGAACCACCGTTTGCCGACTTGGTAAGTCACATACATGCTTTTCCTCCGCAATTTTTGAGTCCCACTTTCACTGAAGACGCTTTTCAATAAAGGTTACTCCTCGAGTCCTTCGTCTGCTCCTTCAATTTTCCTTAATTTCAAGTACAGTTTTTTCTGAGTCTAAGTCCATGTACCTCTTTCAGCTCCATCAAAGATAGGCGATACTTGTCAACGTGATTGCAAACCACCTTTGTTATGTCGTGACGGTCGATGCGAATGTTGGGGAGGAAGTATTGTGGATGGGGAGTGCGTAGTACGTGAGTTGTGCTCGAATCGACCGCACGTGTTTTATTGTTTTCCAATCCTAAGACTTAGTTCAGAAATTTGTTTTAGTACAAAACGTGTCGTGCATATTGGTTTTCCACTGTAACTTGTTTGTAACAAAATGATGAATGGTGCGCAGTTTCCATGCACTAAATAAATGCAATCGCACGCCACACTGCTGAGAAATACTGCGAGGCGGCACGACTACAGTGTTTACACGAACCTTGTGCCAAAAGGGTTTTCCTTCTTTTCTAGTAATGTATTTCAGCGTGTCCAACTGGGCAACAACTGTATGGTGTTGAGTGTACTCGCGTCGCTCATTATGGTCAAGTGTGTGAGAAGGACAGTGAGTGTGTGGATCCATTCAATGCATGCGTTGGTGGAACCTGTCAGTGTGCTGCCGGCACAACCAGGGACATAATGCGGGGATTTTGCTATGCTGGTAGGTTTAGACGGTGTTATTTCAACTCAAGCTTGTTGAAAAAATTATCGCCAGTTTCGACAATTGCTTTTGAGCTTGGACCGCAGAGCATTTCCAGGGGTTTTATTTATGCCCCATATTTTAAGTCTCATGAGCTTCGTGGATTTTTTTGAAATTTGGCTGCTTACCATTTTCTATCAACATTGCAATCACTTTTCGAACAGTTTCATAAGCAAATTTTCAAATACAGTTTGTCCGGATGGAATGCATCCACGACAAACGTGTCGTCGGTTATTCGTGAACGATGTTGACATGCTTGAGAACGCTGCAAACACTGATAGTTGTCCACTTGGTTATCGGTGTGTTACCTATGGAAGTCCATATGTCGGACATTGCTGCCGATTGCGTTGCCCTTACGGAGAACCAGACCTTAGGTTCGTTAGTAAGGTCATTTCCATTTATTTATTCGCTTCGAAATCCTCGTGTAGCTCACTGCTATATCCATGTTTTATGTTGTTATGTTTAATTTACGTTTTAAAGCTTAACAAAGCACATCTCCAGATCGTCACGTCTTTCTAACTTCTCATTTCCTGTGCGTTCCACTGCTACTAAATGAGCACAATGTTGGTCGAAGTCACAGTGATTATCTTAAAAGTTTCAGCCAATCATGTGACGCCGGCTCGCCCCCGGAATCTAAATGTCGGCCTCTCACCCACTTCTGTTATTCTATCAGTGAACCAGGGCGGGTAATTTCTTTCATTAGAAAATTGCATTGAGATCTTTCCCTAGGAGTGAAATAAATTTGAAAAGTGAAGACGTGTTTGTTGTCTACGAATCAAGTGGCTCTAAAACCATTAAAATGACGACTTTTAGGTGGAAATCTTCTCTATGTTGCCCACGGCCGTGTCGCGACCCAACTCCTTTATACATTAATGACCAATGCCTCTCGATAGCTCACCGAGACGATCCGTGCCAAATCGATCAGCAGGTCTCGAACAGTTTCTCAATCGAGCGAAATTAGAAATAGTCCACCTAAATTGCACATTACTCTCACAAGCTGTGAATTACAGTGTGAAGGCGGAATTTCAATGTCATGTACTCTTGGAACCTGTCAGTGCAAACTTGGCTATCACCCGGTAAACACTTCAGCTAAATATGTCGCTGTAGATTAATAGTAATACCAGCGATCTTTAGAACAATGATAATCGATTTCCAACCTGTCAAAAAAGTTGTAACCAGTTGGATGAGGTCGCTTCAACGGATCGATGTCTTCCAAAAGCGCAACTTGGACAGCGTTGCCTATCCAAGAAACAATGTCCGAGTTTTACGGACTGTAGGTATGGGACATGTCAATGTTTATGTGGCTACAAACAAGTCCGAGTGAGTTGCTTTTCGTACATACGTGCCTTTCATCCATACGTTTAAGTGGCTATTTATACCAGTAGAATACTACCATTACCTAATAATTAACATCACAAAGCCAGTTGCTCGAATCCTACTATTGAGACTAGACCGCACTCGCAATTAGCCCGTATTTTTTAAGTTCGTAGTGTACAAGTAGGAATCAGCATTATAAATGAGCTGATATCGGAGTAATTCCCCTGCATTCAATGAACCTTTTTAGTGAATAAGTTACTTCAGTCATTCCAGGACAACATCCTTGGAACTCGTTGTACGAATCCGGACGATCCGCTCAGTTTGAATACGATTCTTACGGGAGTAGAGCAATTATTTGGAAACAAACACTCCACACGAAATTAGCAGCAATTCCTCTGCTCATCATCCTAATCTCATTTATTACTAGTAACGCATCTTGATAGAGACCAGTTCTTGTCATCCATCCAGATTTTGTATTTTGACCGTCGGGTTGCCAATTCATTTTGAAACAGTCCATTGCGCAAAGCCGAAAGCGATGTGCATAACGAAAACCACGTGTTCTAATCGATATCCTTCATTTTTCCCATTTGTAAATATATAAAAATATTTCCATTATCAGTTACAATTGTGGTGTACGAGAAGGAACGAAAATGAAAAATATCAGTCCATTTCACTCGACCGGTTCCATTCCCAATCGTTGCCATTTTATCCAACTAAGTCTTGCAATCAGATCTGAAAATATCTGATTTCCCACTTTTTTCTCGGAATTTCATGCCTATAGAGACCTAAGATGAGCGAATCTGATTATACGAAAACAGACTTAATGGAACATGTAACATAGGAAATATGTTTCTAAGTGATGTAAGAATGGCTGTACGACTGTTGCTCATGAAACACCAGGTTACCGATTCGATTCTAACGACTTCAGTCAATGCTCTCGAATAAGTCTTCATAGTAACATCATTGTGTGGCAGAAATAAAACCACTGTCTGCTGTCACCTGTCGTCCGGAGTTTTGCAAATCTCTCAGCATCATTGTGGTTGGTTTCTCAAAATACCTTGGCGTGAAAATTGTAGTAGGCAGTAAATAAAAAAAGTTAAAACCATTGTCTTAGTCATCGATACATCTGTCATGCAGAAGGTGCTTAGATTTCCGTGTGGCTGCAAATTGAGGAATTTAGTTCTTGACCAATGCCAATGAATTCCAGTGTAATGTGGCTCTCCCATGCGCTCAAGATAACACTGCTATAACGCTCGTAAATTTTCACCACAGGGCACTAGCTGACGTTTGTGGATCAGTTGACGCTATTTCCACAGAAGTCTGGAGCCAATTTAGCCCGTCCTAGAGGGATAGTGGGCCAACTTAACCCGAGTTGTGGATTGATCCAACAACAACATGTTTACTTTAGCGCTACATGTGCCCTTATTATTCCACTAATTATTGGACATCTGTCACCTATCCTTCCATTGATCGTCGAGCGACCCAAGTGCGTGCCAGTAAACCTTCCATTTCTCACTGTATCGTAGAAGAGTAGCCCAGTGCGTTCTGCTAGCTTTAGGGACTCATTAAGCATCAATATCTTTATTTTGGTGTTCTAGTGAAGTACTTTTACCTCCGCGTCGGGGCCCTACTGCAGCGCGTTTGACATTCCGAGTTCAGCCATTAACGGTTCCTGTCGATCGGTAGTCGTTCATATGCACTATGTGCCCGGCTCATCTTGTCTTCGAAAAGGCTTGTAGAACGGAGATCTTTAATTTTCATGGTTGACGTAGCTCGGAGCTTCAGATCACCTCCCTCACTTCTGTGATATGGGACATTCCTACTATCGTCCTTTCGACTCCCCCTTGTACAACGCTGAGTGATCTTTCATCTCATCTACCTAGCGACTATGCTCCTGACGTATTTCTTAAAGTTGGAAGAATTGTGCAGTCGAAGAGGTGCGCACGGAGTTCCATGTTCTTTGTTCTCCTCACTGCAACCTCGATGCTATCGAAAGCTGTCCGAGCCACTCTCTTTCACTTGTTCAATCCGAGAGCTAAGTCGTTCTTCAAGTTGATTTTTCGGCCTAAACAGACTTAACTGGAGCATTCGCAGGTATTCATTCCGTTGAGCGTGAAAGGAGCATACGAAATAAATGTTTCCTATGAAAGTCGTTCTTGTGAAATTTACACGAAGAAATCTATCCGCAAGCGTTAACAAAGTAGGCAAGCATTCGTTCCTTCTGACTAATGTTGGTGTTATAAGATCGATGTCATCAGCGAAGCCTACCATCGATTTTCATTCCCACGTCGTCCCACTCCAGTGTCCGCAAAACGTTCTCTTTAAATCGGTGAAAATGAGAGAAGGCGGTCTCTTCTAATCTCGTGGTAGTTCAATGAATTTTGTTTTCGTGCGGATGTAGCTCATAGTATTGGATTACTTTGGAAATCCTGGTAGCTTACATATGACTCGTGACTTGTCCACTGTACTGTCAAACATGCTTAGGATGACTCCGAGTGAACAGATTGTGGAAAGCAGACAGCAAACAGATTGGTCGATAATTGCAAACATCATGCAGATTACTCTTCTTTAACAATAACAAAGTCTTGCTGGTCTTCCATTGAGTAGGGATCTTGCATTCCGACAGGTAACGTGTGAAGAGCCAAACAACTGTGTTGATGATGCTGGCGGAAAGTTCTTCAGGTGCTCAGACTCTATCTTGTCCGGACCAGGTCTTTTTCGATACTTCACTGACAAAATAGCTCGTCGGATCTTTCCCAGCGTCTGCAGCTTCGACTATAACTGCTGCTCTTCTTTCTTTTAAGTCGTCCGAATCCATGCAGCTGTATCAAGTGGTGTTTTTTTGGAGATAGACGTCTTTCGGTGAGTTTCGAACTCTCATCTTTCACAACGGTACTACGACGATGTTGAAGAAGGCGATCGCATTCGTTGTCGATGTTATCAACAACAGCACCTTTCCAAACACCGACTAACAAATTGAATAAATCCCATTTTATAGTGGTTTTCGGGTTTCGTTTTTTGAACTTACAGCTTTCCCTCCCTTCGGCAGGAGATGGAATCTTGTGTAAAGGATGAAATGGTCAGAGCCCGTGTAGACTTTTGGGAAAACCGCAACATAAATTAGGTAAAACCTTCTATTTACTACGGTTTGGTCTACACATTATGGCACTCTATACTGGGGCACTCCAACATCCAATGTTGAGAGCACGTCTTTTGGAACTGTGAGTGCTACATTCCATTCTAATTCGTGGTCCTCAATATGACGTTCTTCGCACTTCTTCTGGAACTAATTTTAGGGTTCAAAAAATCGAGTGATGACGTTAGAACTGTATGGTCTCCTCTGCAGAACCTTTCCAAGTCGAAGCAGAATGCTCCGACTTTGTATTCGTCATAGGTTGATGGCGGCATGTAGATGACGAATGTTGTCAAAGTTAATATTGATCCACACCTCTTCAACCATAAACGTTCGATTCGGGTTGTTAGTTGTTCCAATGAATCAATGATGTTCATGCCCAAACTCGTGTCGACGAGAACGCCGACGCCGCCTAGTGTTCTACTATCGCATGTTAGGAGAAAGAGTTCTCTCCAGTGTCATAGGTGGCATTGAGTGAGCGGTGTCCCCTCGTCTCAGCCAGTCCAGTGGCGATGTACGTGAACCCTCTTTCTTGCGTGATTAGGTGACTCAAATGCAAGTGAGCGTAGACTGTAAGTACAAATGATCGCTTTAGTCCTTCGACATTTAGGCAGCCTAGATATGCCCTGAGCTTTTAGCTGCCTTTCCGTATCCGTGCTACCCAACGTTGCTGTATCGAGTGCTCTTTTGAAGTCAGGTGAATAAGGCCCCCTTATTTGATTTTTTTAAACACTTGATAGCTACGTATAGCCGAGCTCTGAACGAGAGAGTTTTGTATGCTCTCGACTCCTAACCGCCTACCATGTACTTCCCAATCACTTGATTGCAGAGTTTTGGCAGAATTGACTCGCAGAATACAATCCGCATTAATGAGAACACATCTTCTCACGTATGCATGGATATGTTTTCGTAAACAAAGCAAATATGCGTCAATTCGGAGAAGTAGAAACAAAGAGTCCATTTCCTCGATCCATGTGTCCGTCAGGATCAGGTCGCTTTTGGTTCGCCATTAGCCTTCAAACTTTAACCTGGGAACGCAAAAATTGTCTCGCGAATAACTGGCATAAGATCCCTCAATGAAAGAGATTGGTGGACTAATAATTTGTATTATTACTTACTTGGATGGCTCGTCTTCACTGGTTGTGCGGAACCCAAAATGATTTCCGTTTTTCGGAGTTTTGCTGGTTTAGCCAACGCGGTTCGCTGGAATACCGAGATGATCCTAGCCAAAGTCTGCCACAGGTCGCCGCCACCTCAGGCAGTCGCCGCTCTTGTGAATCAGAGGGAGATTTGTCACCAAGCAAGTAGTTTCATACCAAGATGGTGGTGGATCCTGGTACTGGTTTACCCTTAGCCAGGCTTCCTGATGGAAACGAGACCCTGCTGGAGGACGAATTTCCCCACTGTACATCGCAGCCCGATATCCAGAAATACCTCGCAACCATAATGAGGCGGTAAGCCGTTAGGAGGAATTGGCATTATTACTAATTATTAGTTGGAGAACATTATTATCATTACTGTTATTTCTTCGTAACATTACTGTTAGAAAATGTGAATAACAGCTTGTTTTCTACAAAAGTTCACAAAGCCACTATTTCAGTATTAGGTTAAATCTCACCGCTCGTGCTCCATGAGGGGGCGTTCGGGTGACTGATACGCGACATAGCAACACATCGTTGAATGTAGCGATGTGGATCCATAGGAGACCAGAAAATTAAAAGAAAAAACAAACTTTTTGCTTAAGATGTGAAAGAGGAGTATCGTTGAGTTGAAATGAAACGTTTCATCAATAAAATACTGCACACGGTTTCAACTTATTATTTTCTGCCTACTCTTTTTAATGGCAGAGTATATCGCGAAATATAACTTCAATGATGCTGAGATACTTGCAAAACTCCGGAGCACAGGTGTCTGCGGTGGGAAACGAAAGCGCTACTGTCCTTTCCGGGGAGTAACGCCTTCACCACCACACCATGCGGGTTCTCTATTTCGCCTGTCTCTCAGTAATTTCTATCGATCTTTGCCACAGCAATCACCCGTCAGCGGGATTGATCTGGGGGGCCCAAATCGTCAACGAACCCAATTAAGCTGAGGCTGTAGTTATGATCACAATTTCAACTTCTTATTTACTGCTTACTCTTTTTTAATGACAGGGCATATCGCGAAATATAACTTCTATGGGCGAAACGAAGGACCCGCATGGTGTGGTGGTGAACGCATTACTCCACGGAAACGACAATAGCGCGTTCGTTCCCCACCGCATACACCTGCGGTCCGGAATTTTGCAAATATCTCAGCATCATCGAAGTTATATTTCGCAATATACACTGCGCATAGTTCCAAAAAAGTCAAACTCTCGCGTTGTAGGTAAAATGTTGTATTAAATGTCACATTATGGTGAAGCTTTATAGAGATCAGTTGTTGCTCATGAAGTATCACTGAGAAAATAACTTAAGTAGCAACAGAATAAAATAAAGAGAAATTCGGTTTTACCTCAATACATCTTCTAGCATATTAATGTACGCTATGGCAAGGTTGAGAGTATCAATTTTTGACAGGCGTTTCTCGAAAGGAAACGTAGGAATGTAGTTCCTTAGCTCCTATAATTTCAGTTGAATTAACTAGAAAATCTCGCTTCATTACAGCAGTTATAAAAACTTCAAAAATCAAGGAATCTTAGATGGAAGAAGCTTATACAATGAAGGCGACATTGATGCTGCACATGCGCTTCCGTTCGCGAACATTGGCCGCTCGTCGATCGCCCTCCTCTTCAGCAAATTCGTAGACAACTTCCGATGTTATTAGATGCTGGTCGGAAAATTTCTGCCACTGAATAATAATCGTTCACTACCTTCCATTAGCTCTTTGACATGTTAGAACTTATCAAATTCAAAACATTGACTTCTAAAACAAGTAACAATTTTTTACTCGTAATCGTCCGCGACAGCTTACCGTGTTATTTTGGCTGTCGTGCATGTCTAATTGTGATTTAGAGCGGAAAGGATGTTATCCACCAAGCAAGGTTTCCCAAACTGAGAAAGGCTCGATATTTCCAGCTAGACGGTCCGGCTGAGAGCAGTATAAAAAATGCCCCATACCGCAAATTCGATTTATTTCCAGCACGGAAGCAGAGTCTACTGAACAGACAAGGGCGAGTGGAATTTTTTGATGCCCGCTCCAGTTACTCGATTATTAATGGGATTACAGTTTACACAGCTATGCTCCCAACCGCAGGTTACTTCGCAGATAAGAGTAGCAGAATAACAGTGTTAACGATAAATACACCGTTACAAAGTCTATCAGGTCTAGTTACTATTGTAACTGAAAATAAAATGATAATGATTGAAATAGACAAGTCAATTCAGCTCTTCAAAAAAAAATTCCTTTAATCTCTTATGAAATATGATGGGAACTTTGCAAGTTAAACTCTGATTTTTTTCTACTGTCGAATTTCCAGCCGATTTTACCTAAGAACACCTCCTCATGGCTCTTGAAAAGTGTTTAAGACGGCAACTATATGCATTTCAAACATGTATTTCATAAACATTGGGAAAATCTTCTTTCACTGTTGGCTTCTGCCTACATTGGTGAATAGGTATTCCTTATTGAATAGTTCTTCCAAATGGTTAATAATTTCACTAAACCTGAATCATGGAACATCTACCCACATTTTTAAGAAGCCATTTTCCAACCGTCACCAAAAAGCGTTCTGTATGTATTATTTTAGAAAAGTCAATAGAAAATAAAGCGAGAGAACATACTAATGGCTGTGGCTGCATGTCCATATGTGATGACAGCGGTTTGATTATAAAGGGAGTTGAGTATTTGGCACTTAGAGCTAAGAGCAGCGAAGCGTATAATCAAAAGAACCTCCTCCGATCTCAACAACAGAGAAATTTAAAATGAAATGGGGCTGTTTCGGAAGGAATTCCATCAGATAATTATAAAAACGTCGCACTTTCTTCTCAAACCCAATTCGTGTTGCTTGCTTAGGCGGCGGCAAAGAGAGGTTTGCAAATTAATACAACGTAATTCTAGTACTTAAATAAGAACCACTCAATAGTGGATGCATGTGATTTGATGAAATGCAACCTATTCGGTTAATTAAGCACAGGCGAATGTGAAATATAGCGCAATTGCCCACTAATACAAAATTTCGATCCGACCGAGATCAATATTTTACATATGCATAATTTTTAAAAGTCTGGAAATCTAACAACTAATGTTACAGTGTTTAAGAAAGAAGTCACATCTACTGTTCCTGCACCAGTGATCCATGAGCTAACTTTCGGACGTCTTCACTATAATTCTTCACTATAATTTATTGTTCACTAAAACGTATATGAAAAGTGATCCACAATCAAACTTAGAAAGCAAACTCTACGTTTATTCTTAAACAGTATGCATAGCTAGCCTACATGGTATAGGCAAGCTATTCTTGGATACTCTTTGCTAAAAACAGTAAAATTAAAGAGCGACATTCTCCTGACTCAAAAAGTCCCTGATGCTCTGCAGCGAGGTAGGTTGGGAGAAGCATAGAAAGATTCCTAAAATCTCAAGCAAATTATAGAATGGTAAAGATTGAAAAGACTATGTGAACAATATGTACTCACAAAATATGCATGCTAACTTCGGAAGCTTCAACTGAGGAATCTGCGGAAGATAAAATGACTGAAAAATTCTATTCTTTGGAAAGACACGTAAAGTTGTATAGAACATTGCAGGAGAAGAGAAACAGTATTTGCACAATCTATAGGGACTAAGAAAAGTTTCAACAACGAAAGCCAGTATCTTGGAAGCTATTAGGTTGTTCGGAAATTTATGTGGAATTTGAAGAAGCTGTATTCTTCAAATTGGCACACCAGAACTCAGAACAAACTTTGTTAATTGAAACAAGAACAATTAAAATCTACAGATTTTTGTATACAATAAACAAATTTGCTTATTTCGATTCTTAAACTAAACTCTGGAAATCTGGAAGCAATAAAGTCGTCGAAAGCACTTACAGGCTCGGCATGGCTTCTGGAGCAATGTTCGTACAGCAAATTGTCGAGATACTTGGAGAAATGGTACTCAGTTTGTAAGAGGATTGGAGAGCGGATGAGGCGAAAATTCGTAGGTCGGTTCGTTCATCTTTTGCTGCATCGATAGTGCGACTTGTTGCCCACTCGTGCGGTATCCATTTGTCGAGCTTATTCGACTTTTCAGTTATCTTTAGATCGTCCGAAAGAGTTGGGTGCCTATAGCAAGTTCTTCTCAAAATTCCTGAACAATTGTGTTTGCATTTGTTTCTAGTAAAACATTCAATTCATTGTCGTTAAAAGCACAAGGACGTTCGCGACATTTCCATCTTCAACGGCGAATTTCCTACAACAAAATTTTGAAAGCAACGTCGTACTGCGCATTCGTCAACATTCGGTTGTCCACACACCTAAGTAACGTTTCGAGCTCTTTGCGTTGCATAAAACCCAGTTCGAATTGCTAAAAATAAATTTGCCGCATTTTCTCTTTTGAATCTCAACTGCTAACCAATCAATTCGCCAGAAAAACACTTTATACCATAATTCAGTTATACAGAATGAAAGTGCATGAAATGAGTTCTGCTGTGATGATATTAATCGGAAGGAAAATGACTGCAAAAAAATATAGAAGGCAAAATTACAAATCTCCTATTAATTTCAGGATAAGCCAATACAAGTTCATAACAACTGCCCTCCAGGACTTAAGTTGAAGAAATTACTGCATTCAGAATGGCGTTGAAGAAAGGGATCCACGTTCTTTAACCGAACTTCTTTGCCAACAAATTTCCTTAGCCTGCATTTTATGTTTAACAAGCTCGTCCTTGTTCTGTTTTCACAACGAAAGGAATATATAAATTATTTTTCAGAATGTAGTGTTCCAAATAAAGGAAAAAAAGCAGATGAGTGTTGTTGCGCAGCAAAGATCTACATGATATCGCTAGCAATCACACAGTCTGCGTATTATTACCTACCATAAGTTATTCGGGGGTGGGGACAGCGCAGTGGTTAATGATACCGCCGATCAGGAAGCAAAGGCACTTGTTCGATCTCCGTCTTAATACTCTTCCCAAATCCACGTGAGAAAGCCTTAACCCGGCTAACTACAGGACTGCAAAGAGGACTGAACTACATCAGCATTCTATGACATTCATAAATAAAATGAAATCCTCAAACAGCAGCTGAAACAATAGACGAAACGTTCGGAGACCGTTGTGAGGGATAAATGCTAGGAAAACGAATCAAATGCAAGTGCTGGGATCCGCACAGTAGATGTGATAAGGTGTCACGTAAGTCATGTAAAAAAGAAATATAGGTTGTTTATCTGAATTACGATTAGCAGAGCTGATAGAATACTATATAGATGACAGACATGTAAGAGATGGAGGAAAAGCTCCAACAATATGGACCATGCCATCCGAACGACTGTACATTTCTACGAAGTACCCATCGCAAGATACAAAATGTCACTTTTTCCCATTTTTGTTGGCTTAACACGTACAACGTCATTTGAATTGATTTCTAGTCAAATGTGGGAGATGGAGGAAAGATTGGTTAGAATGAATTGACATCATCTCACTCCCTTTCCAGTTGCTCCTTTTTCTACACAGAACTCTCTCTGTGCTTTTTGCATCTAATCGGTAGCTGTTCAACACAGACCTATGTACAAGGGCTGCGATCAGAAAAACTATTCCATGAACTTCATAATATGGAGGAAACTCCTATTTGGACGAGTTTGCACGAAGCCATAGATGTTGACGCTGATGGTGGACCAAAAACTGCGATACTCACGGGTGAGGAAGATAGTGTATGTCTCCGCCTTCGCCGTCTTGCATGATTCTCGCGGCGATTAACTAGTTTTTATACCGAAACTATGAGGATACATATGACTTTGCATAGGGTGGAGTGCCGGTTAATGGTCAACATGAGTTTACATCTATTCGCAGCTCTCAGGACGCAAAATTACGCGCCGGTTAAATGATGCTATGTACAAAATTAGATATTGGATTGTAAATGCCAGAGCAGCCTCGGACTCAGCTGAAACAGAACAGGTAGTAGTCGAAGATCTATAGAGCAAACGCGTCCTTATTCAATGAAAAGGATAAATAAATCTCTCGGCGTTGATCAATCCTGAAGAATGCGTCGTGCATTTGACTTCATTAAGCATCGCTGGAGGTGATTGGATACATATCTGCCTTTTATAATGACTCGCGGTGGCCTATCGATGTATCGAACCAGTGCTGCTATCCTCCTAGACAGGTCTGGTATCAATTCGCCAACTCCGGAGGGACGGGAGCCTTGGTGGGCCTAGTGCGCGGGATTCGATCTCATGTTTGTAGGGCGTCTCTGACCATTGTGCTACACGCACCCCTATATTCAATAAACAAGTGTCGTTCTTGAAGTACAAAACATGTTCGTGAACAGAAATTCACATTGAACAATGGCACTGTGGTTGATGTAAGTGCAGCTGTTCAACAGAACGACACGTTTCTCCAGAAATATTTACAACTATTCTCGAGAACTCCACACGACGAGTGTAATGGTTTCTCTGATTTCCTGCAACTACACGAACTTCGCTTTGTTGGTGAAGTGGTTCTTGCAACACCAAGCTCTGGTATTTGGTTAAACCTCGCGAAACAATGTCAATGGAAAAAAGCATTCACTTTTGGTGTCCCATTCATACAAAGCGCAAAGAATATGTCCAAATACTAAAGTTATATGTATCTTATTCGAAAAACAACCTCGTGAACTACTTAGCTCTAGACCATAGCAGAATGGAAACAAGTTGCTTGGAAAGTTCACAGGAGCATTGAGGATGTATTAAGAAGAACACCATGATTCGTGGCTACATTTTCGAGTTTACGAATCTCCATACTTTAAAAAAGGTATGAAATCCTAAGTGCTACTTATGAAGAATAAAAGTAGCAAGCCACGTTACCAAAGGTGCTATGGAAAATGCGATGATAAGTGTATGGTGCATCTGAGGCGGGAAAAAGGAAGCTCAAAGATTGGTCGCTTAGTGAAGACCAAAAATGCTTGCGCACACGCTAGCTTGTCGAACATCGCAGAGTAATGACGTGTGACTTGTGTGAATAAGACTCAAACCACAACAGCAGGTAGTGACTTCCTTCCAAGAGCATACAAGCAAAATCACTGACAAAGTGGTCTTATTTCCTCATGAAAATATTGAAAGAGAAATATAGTTTCTTCCACCTTCGACTATAAACAGGCTCAAATTAAAATACAGTCAGGATCCCACAGGGTTATCCCAACGGCTTACCGCTTCATCATGGCTGCGAGGTGTTCTTAGGTATCGGGCTGCGATGTACAGCACGGGAATTCGTCCCTCTGGTAGCGTCTCCCAAACTGAAAAGGAGTCCGGCGTTTCCATCAGGAAGTCCAGCTAAGAGTAAACCAGCACCATGATCCGTCACCATCCTGGTATCAAACTAGTCGCATAACGGTAAATCTCCGTCTGATCCCCAAGGGCGGCGACTGCCTAGGATAGTGATCACCAGAGGCAGATTTTCGCCTAGCTGACTTCGGGAATCCAGGAAACCACAATGGCTAAGTCAGCAAAATTCCAAAAAAATGGAAACTATGTTGGAACCCACACAACCAATGAAGACGGACCATACAAGTATCCAAGTAAGTAAATTAAAAGACTATGTGTGGTAACGTTCAATGGGATAGAAGGTTATGTTAAAGCCCAACTAAGAGTAAATCAGTTAAAGATCGAGGAACGTATCAGAAATCACACTGATCGGTTCTTCTTATCGAATCAGTTTGACGGTTTGAGAACTAGATAAAGACACCTTGGCTCGAACACGTATACGGCGCCAACTCGAATAACTCCACGAAAAACAAGACAAGAGGTGATACAGGTGATATGTCGTTTATATGCATATGAGTTGCTGATTACACTGTCACGGAGAGAAAACGAGTTTGACAAATTTCATTCTAGAAATCTCTCACACGTATTAAGAATTGAGAAAACATAAAAGATTTGAAGCACTCACACATAGTGGTTTACAAACAAGAATCTCACAAACGCATTATCAGAAAAAAAAGAAAACGTAAATGATTTGAAGCACTCTCGGACATAATGATTTACAAACAAGAATAAACAACGATTTCACAAACGCTTAATCCAAAAAAAAAACAATGGCATAGAACAGAAATAATCTTTGAATTGAGATAATGTATGAACCGCGTAGATTTCCCAATAGTTGTTTATAACTAACATAAAAAGATAATAAAAAAAATACCAGCTTAAATGAGAAATAAACAGCTGAAAGGTACTAGATGACGAATCTTGAAAGACCTAATAAGGATTAGGAACCGGAACAATGAAGACAATCAGAAAACTGAAAGATAGGACTGCGACACCTGATTAGAGTCCTATAGGACATGTGGCTTAACAGGGATCTTCAATCATACAAGCGTCATCGCTGCAGAGAGACCGGAGCATAAACGATCTACATCAAAACTCGAAAAACAACTTCCTAATTTTACATTTTCTTACTCTGATACCAAGTCTTTGCCGCTGCTCAATGTTTCAAACCGAACTGCTTGTAAAGCAGCATTTCGTTTCGGCTACACGCATACATACCCCAAACTTAGAAATATTAATCGCCTTGATATTTCCTTGAGATCGAACACTAAACTTGGTTTCTAGAGAGTAAAAGAATAGTCAATAGCATCTGCAGACCAACGAAAATATCGAGCATGTCCTACACATTATGAAAGGGTTATAGCAGGAGGCATCACAAAAAAAGTTGAAACGGGTGGAATATCAACTGAACAAGCATAGAAAGAAATGAAGTATTTCAAAGGTGAGATGTATAGAATAAATTAATGAAAACTGAGGGAAACAATGTCATAATGACCATTGTGGAATGCACTATCTACAATCTATACAGTGAGGAAGCAAGATAAATCATAAATTTATATATACAACAGAGGTCATTGAGCAAGATAGTGTCTCAAGAACAACACTTGGAAAGGAAAGAAAGGGTACTTTGGAATTGAGAAAATTATTGTCTGATATTTCAGAGGCGGTAATGATGCACCAGCAATCACATCCGCACACAAATATCCTGTGGCGGACATGCTCGAAGGAGCAAAGAAGAATACCTCGTATAACTCCTTGCAGAACAGCGAAGATAATTTATAGCTCATCATCGCTTGAATCGAAATCAGAGTCACACGGTGGGTACAAAGTTTCCGGTTCATTCTTCAAAGAAGTAAAAGGGGCGAAGATAGGAGGATCGTAGAGACAAACCTTCTTAACCAGGGAACTCTCTACAAGTGGAGGCAACTGAAAGCAATAGCAAAAATAACCACCACTCTGCAAATGAACAGAAATGAGATGCTTACAATCCGTCTTCCTGCGACAGGCTTGTGTTCAAAGAATGAATATGGGTTCTCGAGTAGCTCTAAAGGATCAACCATTGTGGACGGCGAATTGTTCCTACTTACAAAGTAATGTGTGATGGCGTCATCATGAGACCCAATCTGAGGATCAGGTTGCATTTTCCGGCCCTGAAAAGAAGCCTCAACTGAATGTTATTATATCAATTCAGACATATTCCTAATATTGACTGTTATTTTCTTCAATTCGCAATGTCAGTTGTGCTCAAATATATATTCTGATGCGAATCACAATTACACAATCACTGCGGGTTTAACAGTTATGATAAACAAGAAACTCACAGAAATTTCGTATTCAAGTCGAGCCATACCCAGTGACAAATCATCTCCATAGTGCTCGTAAACCGTACGCCCGAACCAAGGAGGAGTTGAATTGCATCTGTCATAAATATTAGTTCAGATTTCAATTTAAGCACTGTTTAAAAAAGGTTTCTCTAAACATATACCGTCTCGCTCGTTTGCAAGGAATGGCGAACTCTCGAATCATTTCCGAACGAGCTGCACGGCAACGTCCAACATTGTTAATTGGCCTCAGCTGCATCATTCTGTAAGAAACGGACATAGAAAACCAATAAAAACCTTGTAAATTAGAACGAACAGACCTTTTCCTTTCGATGTCAGCATAGCGAACGACCTCAGAAATCCACAACGCGTATAAAGGAACTTTATCGCGTTCATCTGCTTTAGGCACGGTGAATTCGAGAGAGGTTCCGCTGCTAATTGCTTCGAACCTGACAGATGTTAAATCGAATAATAATTAGATGACCTCAACTTTCCCCCAACGGTTTACCGCCTCATAGTGGCTAGGAGGTGTTCCTGGGTGTCGAACTGCGATGTGAAACAGGGAGATTCGTCCCACTAGCAGGGTCTCCCAACCTAAGAAGGAGTCCGGCATTTTCGTCAGGAAGCCCAGCTAAGAGTAAACCAACACCAGAATTCACCACCGTATCAAACTAGTCACATGGCGGCAAATCTCGCTCTGATCCAAAATGTCGGCGACTGCCTATGGTGGTGACGACCTGGAGTAGAGTTCGGCCAGGCTGACTTTGAGATTCCAGGGAAACACAATGGCTAAACCAGCAAAACTCCGAACAGTGGAGATTATGCTGGGGCCCGCACAACCAGTGAGGATGGGCCGTCCAAGTGTCCAAGTATCCAAGTACCACAACTTCAATAAAGATCTCAGACTTATCTCACAAAGGGGACGTATGTGAGTCACCTGGTATTTCTTTTACGTTCGAAATAATCCACATGTTGGAACTGCCGAATTCTTTCTCTCTGTTCCTTACGCTGATCAATAAATTCTCCATTTTCATCGAGTTCTTGGACGAAATGGTTGGCATGTTCGTGAGCCTTCATTCTAAATACCGGCAGTTACACTTGTTAAAGTCAATCAAATGCAACTCAACATACACATCAATTTGACAATCTGATGAGCCACTTCTTCGTAAAAAAGCTGGCATCATTTTTGGAGCCGGAATTGCGTCGAGGGCGTTTTTTATCATCGCGATCCAATTCAACTCGCCAGTCTTAAAATGGAACTGCAAAAACTTATTGGAAGCATCTACTAAAGAGAAAAACTGCTTACCTCGTGAGAACGAATAATTTTTAAGGTTTCAATTTGATCGAACGAGTTGAAAGATGCAGTCGTAATTGTGTTAGTAGCCGATAAATTATCTGTTGATGTATCATCTGTCAAGGAATCCATAGTTTTCATCTTCAGGACTCCATCCGCACAATTAACCTAACGTGAATTGTATAGTGACGACTGGAAGAGAAAAAAAACACTGGAAAATTGCGTATGGTTGTGATACTCACCGAATACTCTATTCTACGACCGGCAATGGTAGTTGTTACAGTGTCGAAATTGCAACATTTTTTCTTCGCCTGTTTCAATACCACTGAAGCCAAACTGTCACTTTCGTCATCGACATCCTCAATTACAGTTACGTGAGCTGGATTGGACGGATAGATCACTTCCATAGGCTCAACGCATTCCACGCCCACATCAGTTGTTTCACAATGGACTTCGTCATTGTATGTAGAAGAGACACTCATCACCCAGTCTTTCACTATTTCAATAGATTTTTTCATACGTTCGTGTTTCACTGTCAAGTTATTCCCTTTTTCCTGCTCAATGATGGTGAGTGGATCGAACACCTAAACAAAACTGTTTCATTAATGCTATAAATTTTTCGAAGAAAAGTGTAGAAAATAACAATCACCGTGTTTTTAACGCAATCACCCATTATACGACGACCTTCTTCTGCTAATACTGTATCAGGAACGTGAACATTTTCAGTACTTAGACTGTTGATATTCACGCCCACCTTGCCGCTTTCAAAAAAGAATACCACCTGACCACATGGGCAATCAAGTTCTACCTGACCCGTTTTATCCACGATCCTCCTCAATTCGTCGAAAGTCGAGTTAAGCTGTAACATTGTTGCTATAACAAATATAACATGTCTGTAAGGCAAAATGTTGTTTATTTATCTTTTATTAACGTACGGTCCCTGAATTCAGTTTTACAATGTGTTGAAGAAGTAGATGAAACGAAAAATAGTGTTGATCCCTCAATTTTAAGTTTCAACTCTGTCAAAGTGAAATGGGAATTCTCGGCTAAGATTATAAACATACACTGTGGTATCAAAACTCCAGTGCTCCACGTTTCTAACCTGTTAAAATTACCTTTGCGATTATTTTACTAAGATTCATGATGTTATTTCGCATTAAAAACTTCGCACGAGTTTCATGAAATCGCGATAAAACATAAGCCCGAGACATTGGTGAAATCAGGGATAGATGATAATGGTCGTTGTGCATTAGTTCCTGAAACTAAAGTTATCAGTACAACCCCAAATCACTAAGATGGGCCTGTGAATAATTATATAATAAAAAAGGAGAAACTAGATCCAACTTACATCTATGTGATTGCTAAAATACGAGGAAACTTCTTTGTAAATCTGATTCCGACATATTGCTAAGACAGCAAAAGAAGGGAACAGAAACGAGAATCCGTTAGCGCTGTTGTTTTGGGTAACATTATCGCCGATCAAGTTCTCGAGCGAACCACGTTCAATCGATTGTGCACCAAGGAAGAACTTCTCCATCTTGAAAAGAAACTGACAGTAATCTAAGTTGATATGCAAAAATATTTTAAAAAGGGAAATAAGTTACATCGAAATCTGCGTTGGCAAATGGACATGTGCCGACTTCAAAAAACGGAACCAGGTCAACGAAAAACACCTCCTCACTGCTTTTGTATGGACGTTCTTTTGAATTCCAATGTGTCATAGATTGCAACCGGGTTAGTGCATTAGGAATAGTGATCTGAAAATGTAATAAACTATTTATAAACACTCGTTTCGTCACATTTTAAACTCACATGCTTGATTAATGACAAGGCGAGACCGTGTGCATTATTGTATATGGAGGAGAAATTATTGGTTTTTCTGTAAAACGACCACACTGATTGATGAATTCAATAAATAAGCCGACTCCTATACCTATTCCATTCCTCGAATCGTCGGACGTAGGAGGAGCACATCTCTGCTTGTGAAGAAAGGGCTACTGCGGCATTCATTTCGAAAAGCAAGCAATGCATACGCGCATCAAACTATAATGATTCATTTCAAGTAAATTTCGAAAACTGAGTTATAGAGAAGCAGAAAACAACGTACCAACTGATGATGGGTCTCCCAAAGGGAGCACTGATATACACTGAAGACACCCAACTGAACACACCGTGTCAAATATTCCCAAATTTCGTACTGGATGTCTAGCATGTAGAGCTGCGCGTCCATAAGAAAATGCAAAGTCCAATGTGAAGTTGAACGAATATTCTAAAGGGAAAGTATTTCTGAAAAAACAAAACCCAGTTCTATGTAGGCTAAGTGGGAGAACGACGTATAATTCAAAGCTATTAACCAAATCAATCAAGAACTAGCAGTTTACAATATCCGCTTTTCAACATGGCATCACTAAATTTATTTTGATCTTATGTACTGCCTTTTGTGAGCTAACATGTGGTTGGTGACATGCATTTTTGCTATTCGACGGATACTATAATTCCGGTGATCTCGCTTCCTTTAGAACCAAGACGCTTGGTTACATAACATTATTGGGATTGCAGCGGTTTCATCGAATGATGCTGTGTGGCAATACGATCTGGCTACAAAGAACGTCGGAGCACCGGCATGTTAGCAAACGAACAACAAAAGCACGTGATGGAACTCGCGTGTCAGCTCATCAAGGACGTTTCGTAAGATCAAAACAAGTTGAGGGCTATTTATAGACGTGGCCAATAATTATAGCTGAAAGAAAGATGGAGCTGCTCCTTCACCTCTATAATAGACCTTGTGCTCTTCACTTGCTCCAGGATACACTTAACACCTGCTTCGTACTGCATCAAAGCAGACTCCAAACTTCCTTCACAGCGAGGCAGAGAGAGACGAAAGGGTGTCACTGGATGCATTGAAGTGACCAGCTTGGCTATAAACATTCAGAAATCATTTTAAAAAAATTGTAAATCAAAAGTAAATCGGTGACAGTAACAACTCACATATGCTTTTTAGAAAGTCCTTGAACACTTACCGATTTGTAATTGAAACAGTGTCCCAGAAAAACTACAACAATGAGCTTTTTTAACACTTAAAAATTATTTAACCCTCCAGACGAGGAGGAATACAAGGTGATTGGATGCTATGTTCCTGTCCCTCCATTCCGCTCCTTACATCCCTATCATGAAGATGAATTCACCTGCATGAACACAATGATATGAAGCGAGAGTCATAAAAAATGCAGAACATTTTGATATCTTAAATTAGGAATCGCAGTAACATAGATTACACCTATTCTGCGAATCGGAGCCAGAAAAAGCCGTAGAAAGAGGTGTCTCCATACTCCAAGGAAAAAATTCTGTACAGCACAGCACAATACCTCTCCAACTGATAGTAGGCTACTGACTGACTGGACAATGTGTCTCGTGAAGATGGCACACTCAGGTAGAAAGCAACGAAGTGTCGGATGTCGAATTCGACATCTTTTGAAAAAAAATTGTTGGAGAAAAACAGAAGGCTCGAAAAAAGACGATGAGTCCACGAAGTTGCAACGATTTGTTCCTATAATCAGCAATGGATGCTAAGCCTTTCAAGTATTATCTCATAGTGTTCAAGTAATTGATGTTTCTCTTACTGTGATAAAACTATCCATGCAGATTCCAACCGTGTTCAATAGAGAAAACGTATGCGAAAACAACCGCACTTGTTAATGGTCAAAGACAACTAGCACGAAATGTTTCTACGGCTGCACGACATCTATCCAGAGATTCTTCGAGTGACGGTTCAGAAATGGAGTGTTATATAAGAATTAGAGTGCTCACCACACTTGACGATCTTTACTCAACTACTTCTTGGTCTTTCTAGTGCAAACATCACTTAGGAAAAACAAAGAAGAAAAAAAATCATCACGATGCCGAAAACACCCTTCAAGTACTGACACCAGGGATTCGGACTGATGTCAAATCGTAAATAAGATTTCGGTGGGGTTTCTGGAAACAAAACTCCTCGAAGGTCAGAAATACTACTTCACTGAGTTATAGAAACTTACTGTTCAACAGTGAAATTAGTAAGAACATTTTGAATGACGTAATAAAATGTGTTCTAGCCCGTCTCGGACTAGAACGGTTTTATGAATTCCCCTAATATATTACTTCAAGAATGCCTGAAAAGCAGCAAGTTTCTCATGTTTTCATTTCGTTCGTCTAAAACAAAATGCTTTAGTGCGCTTAGAATTAACTAACAAATTCCAAGTAAATGTCTCATTTGGGGTTTTACCACGACTGAAGGGGCGAAAACTATGTACAGTAGGAAACATTAAAAATAAGTATTAAAGTGTCTTCCATGTTCTAATTTACACCTCAACAAAGTCATAAATTGTAACCCTACTATAGCCAACTAAGAAATACGGTTAGAAACGAAATTGACTTACTCATATCTGGTTCCAAGGTGACAATAGGATTTCTGGACTTTATCGTAGCCAGCTTAAATAGGATTAATTAAAAGTGAAAAAGACGAAAACAAAGAGATAATGTACACACATTGAAATCAGAAATTAAATGGCTCCCACGTCTGCACGACTTAATAGCTTTGGCGCTTTGTAGGAATGGACGTGGTGAAAGCTCGGCGGCCTAGGAGGACATCTATACAGTTGTCTTCACAGGTGGAAGAAGAAAACCGAAACCCATTTAAAACAGAAGTACATTAGAAACAAAAACCAAAATTGCTTCATAAATTACTATTACGAGGAAAAAGTTTCAAAGAATAACCACTAAGCTACGAATCACTTTTTATCAATAACGTCTTAAGAAAATGACGCTTCCGGAAAGCTGAACTCTTCAAATTAAAAAAAGCCCCATAAATAACATAGAGCAATTTATTACCCTAACTTCCTATCTACTTTCTCAACTTTAACACAGCGATGTCAAGCACGATGAATTATGAAAGTGCAGTAATAGCTAGAAGTATTCCACTGACCCTGAGTGCTTTACAGATAATGGCCACAGTGCCGATTAGGCTTTCACCAGCGGTGTAGTGTGTTCTTCTCCACAGATGATCCAAAGCAGTACTGGTGTCGTTTGCAGTAAACTTGACAATACTTCCCTCACTCTCTGCGCTTAAACGCTTGGCCCTGCTTCTAGTGATTGGACCCGTAAATTGGTCAGATGTTGATGCAGAGTGCTAAATGACAGATAGAAGCACAAAAATTTGATGAGTAAGTAATCAGAAACTTCGAAAATATTCAACTTCAACGTACTTTCATTCTTCGTTTTTTTCTGGAGACATCTGCCTTTATTCCAAAAATATCAGGAGACTGGATGAAACACTGTTCCAAATACTACAAATAGAATGATTGCTGCCTTCCATAAATTGCACGAAATCATTAGTTCACAGTTTGCACAGAAAACAATCTTATTTTTGTTCATCGCTAATGTTAAGCAACGTACCGTTATCGGAGAAAATCCACTGTCGGGCGGGTCGTCACTCTGTAGATACTGCAAAAGAAATTATGGAATAAAAAACGAAACCATACAAAAAGATATTGTTTTGCAGTCGCAAATTCGCTTGGAAAACACATGGAGGCAAATATATAATTGTAGCTGATATATCTGTTTATACGATCATATAAATTGATCTTGTTGAGCTGATGCGAGGTTGTATAAGTTTCCGTTGTCGTTTTTGTTATCGCTGTTGCTGTTGTTGTTGTTGTTGTTGTTGGTCGATGGCAGACGTTTCGGCGATTTCGCCTTCTTCAGAGCCACGCTGTTAGGAGTGGGACTGCTGTCAACATTTCGGAGTATTTTGAACTCTAGAGTTTAGAGTCTCATTCGTAACAGCACAACTCTGAGTAAGGAGAGATCGCCGAAACGTCAGCCATCGACCAACAGCACGAACAACAACAACAGCAACAGCGATAACAAAAACGACAACGGAAACTTATACCAACTTCACATCAGCTCAATAAAATCAGTTGATACGATCATATAAATAAATATACGAACTATTTATGCCGCGGTTTATAAAAAGTCGGTCTTTTGAAATACCTAATTTTAGTTAAGGGCAAAAGAAATTACAGAAAAAGCTAACTTCCGAGATTAAACTGCTTTCAACGATTGCGCTGTTGATCAATGCTACCTATAAAAATGAAACATGTAAGTAATACAACGAACAGGGAAACATCCAAATATAAAACTTGATACGGAGTGATCGATGGCAATGATTTTAATTAGATTAGAGTCAATGATGACAATCAAGACGTTAGGAAAGAAGAATATCGTTAAAAAAAAAACAAAAGTATGCTATGTACTTGCGAGCGTCGCCTCCTTGAGACCGTCTTTCGTTTCGCCCGAGGACGCGCAGCAGTGCCTGAGGAACTTCCAAAACTGTAAGCGCTATCGACCAAGTTTCCCGCACTCACAGGTCCCTCACGCGTGTCTTCTCGTCCCAGAAACGAAGGAATGCATGACTCCTTCAGTTCACCACTTATAGTTGTCCCAAGAGGTACACCACATGCGAGCGATTCAGCCATCACTTCGTTTCCAGTACCGATCATAGGCTGTAATGATTTAAACTGCTTCTCATCTACTACTGACGGCCACAATTGATGAACATATCCCCCGTTTTTTTTTTCTTTTGAAAGAAGAAAGACTGAATGAAAATTCTCAGGTATAAAGGAATATTTGAAAGGATTATCTATTATGTTTCCCTGGAAACCCGAGGTCAGTCTGGCTAAAGTTTGCCCCAGGTCGTTACCACCACAATCAGCCGCTGTCGATCGGCGGGAGATTTGCCACTATGCGACTAGTTTGATGCTAGGACGGTAGTGAATCCTGGTATTGGTTTACTATTAGCTGGACTTCCTGATGGAAACGCCAGACTCCTCAGCTTGGGAGACCCCGCCGGAGGGACGAATCCACCAGCCGTACATCGCAGTCCGACACCCAATAACACCTTCCAGCCACGACGAAGCGGTAAACTGCTGGAAGGTTTGAAAGGACAGCGAAACGAAAAATTTAACAAACCTGTTTTCCTCCGTCTTCCCACTTTCGTCTTCGTAACAACACTTGTTCCGTCTGCAAATCATCAGAATTAGCATGAATCCTTTCGGTTATTGAAAAAAAAATCGTCAGTGGTAACCTTCAATTCCACGGGTGTTATTGTTGCACACATTTGCAGCAAGTGGGATTCAGTTACGAAAGCCAACTCTGCCATTTCTTCCTCTTCATCTACATTAACAAAAGAACAGTCGATCTGAATCACTGACAAGACATTACGCTCCTGCTCCGCACAAGGAACATTGTGAGAAAAAAGAATACTTTCTGCCAGTCGACCATCCTTAATAACATTAGACGTCGAAATGTTGCTAAAGGAACAGTATTCTTCAGAAGGAATAATTATAGTTTCAATAGTGGAAACACTAATTCCTTCAAAATCCTCGTCCGTTCCCACTAACGATTCAAACATAATATTTTCAATAGTATCATGAGTCAAGTGAATCAGTGATAAATCCGACACGATGATGTTGAGCTGATCCACTTCAGCGTTGGCACATAGCAATGAAAAGGAAACTTGAAGATGTTCATCATTCCCACTGAAGTTCGTGTCCATAGTGCGAATTGAATGCATGCACTGCTGGCTCGAATAAGTGAATCCCGTAAAGTTTTTCTGGACATCAAAACATCGCTCCTCAACGTGGTTACAAATGAATTCAGTATGAGATAAATTAATAGAAACATCGCACACAAGATTCAAACATTCCGCTCCTACTGCTGCGATATTAACGGCTCCACTAACAGAGTAGCATTCCTCTTCTCCAATAGCTTCAAAAAACACAATATCACAATAACTAGAGTATTCGATGTCGTGAAGAACTAAATTCTCTTTGGAAGAATGATGTTCTGCAGTTTGAATATGTGTCACGTCATCTGATGTTAAGTAAGAGTTCAGAACAGGATATTCAGATGAAATGTTGTCAAGCCTTACATCAACATCTTTCATCGACAAATCAGCTATAGCTGACATATTAAATGGAAAGTCAAGATCGTCGACTTCAGCATTATGCAAAGATGAAGTTTTCAGTTCAGGTATGACAGATGTAGTGAACCTTATGTGACGATAACAGTTCCCGTAGTCATCACGGAAGGAGCTGATCATGTCCGTATCCGTAATTTTTTGTAGAGCTGTTCCTGATGATTCACTTTTCTCTAATGATAGAACCACACTTACAAAGCTGCTTGACTCTCTAAAATGCGTAAATTGATCCCCATAGGTTTTTTGCTCTGTCCGCTTATCGTCATTATCCAAACTCTGGCATATCCATGAAGATATTTGGTCAATTATTATGTCAATAACGTGGGCAGCAACCCGACCTACATCATCCTCTGCTTGATCTTCTTTTACGTGTTCCTCCTTGATGCCAAGAGATTTGGAAGTTTCGGTACTACTAGTTTCTGTTGAGATTTTTTCGTGGTCACTGGAATCAACTCTCGTAGAGGTCACCCGAGGAAAGTGAACGACTTCGCCCAAAAACGTTCGCAATTTTTGCCGCATTTTATGAGAAGGCGTATCGCCTTCATCACCCGAAGACGTGTCTATATTTTCTGCTGACGTAAAGAACGTATCGACATTGATATCCACAAGATCATCCTCGTTCAAGTCGAAGTCCTCAAGAGCAGAGAACGCGAACTGAAATAATTAGTTTACAACATTTTTGATTCCCGAAACAAGACATTAAAAGCATATAAAACGATGAATCAGGATTAAATTTAAACGTACATCTTCTTCCCACGCGTTTCGCATTCCCCACTGTGATTTTGAGCACAATGAAGGACTTTGATCATGATTAGAACAATGAGCAACCTTAAATCAAATACCTTCATAAGGTTATTTAACAGTAGCAATACTAAGACACGAGTGAATGACTTAAATACTAACGTTTTCACTTCCACCAATTTGAATTTCCGCCACTTCCTCTTGGCTTGTATTCAAGGGTTTAGACTCCTATAACATAAAACTTTTAGCAAACTACAACACAATATAAAACACTAACGCAACTGATTTGACAATTTCACGACAAACCCATGTTACTGAAGGTCTCACATTGCGAATATTCGAAGCAGTTCCTTCTCCACTCTGTTGCTTAGCTCGCTCAAGTACGGCTTGCCGATACTTCTAAACAGCAATGTTTAACACGCTTGTCCAAACTGAGGTACAATAAGAACGAAGGGGAAAACTCAATTACCTCTGAGTTTCGACCTCTTGGTTTGCTTCTTAGTGGTGGAGGTGGAGGACTCTAAACTGGCAAAATCAAGCCTAAGTTGGAAGAACAATAAAACACTATTGTCTAATATTGGACTAAACATTTAGCTTTTTTAAAATAACCAACTAACACGTTGCGCGACAGGGACGTTTAAGTTTCGATACTCCTGTCTTTTAGAACGAACTCGCTCGGGTAAATGTTCCCAACACCGTCGTGAACGAGATTTTATCTGGAAGGGAACATGTGCTATCGAAAGATGGTGGCGATATAAAAAAACACTCCCTGTTAAGAATAAGATGACTGACATCTCTTTTTGGCTGTAGTTCTTCCAGGCATACTTGAGCCACTAACTCTTTCAACACTTCGCCTACTTCGTGAAGTAATGCCGTGTCATGGATGATTGATGAATCAAGCAACTAGAAATTGAAGATATTACCAACAACGGGAAGTAAATAACATTTTTCTGTATAACGAAAGAGGATATCGAGCTTACTATAGTCGCTTCTAAAGGAAGTTCAACTGTAGGATCCTCTATAACTTTCAAAGTTAAATCAAGGACCGGTAGCTCCCTTTGCTTGATTGCCACTTTTTCAGCAATCTCCGCATCTCGAATTGCTTGCTTTTGCTTCGCAAGTCTTCCACGAAATTTTTTTGGAGGACGGCCGGCTTTCTAAAAATATTCGCACAGAATCACATAATACACTGTTTTCAACACGAAATTTTGGACTTGCCTTACGCGCTTGTAGGCATTGATCCTTTGTATCTGAAAATCCTGAAGGCGGTGCAGAAGCAATGAGTTCCTTAATCGCTTCCTCTACTGTATCGTCTACTGCTTCGATATCAACAGCGGTATTATCATCATGGTCTTGCGGTTCCACTCGCTTACGGTGCACGAATCCCTGTGAATCCAGGTTGGTATCTCTACTTCAACTAAGATTGGCTTCTTTAAACATTAATTCTCATAAGGTTGCAAACCAAAAAAAACTTGTTTTCCCTTCAGAATACTGCAGTAACGAAATTTAATTTTGTAGTAACGCATAGTGTCAATTACTAGGTTCTCTGGAAATCGATGTCTGATTTATACCTACATTTTCACGGTGGTATATCTCGGATGATAATAAATTTAACTGATAGACGTGAAAACTGCTACAAAATACACATCTCTCTTCCAACGAGAAAAAGGTTTGTTTCAACCTTCTGCAAAAAATTCTGCACTTGTGGAGTATGAATTCGATGAAGCCAGTTTCAGCTTACACTCTGTTTTTGAAGCATCTTTTGCACAGGAAACTATCGATATGCTTAAAGAAGTAGTTGATTGGCGAGTATGGTGGATGAGGTAGAGTTCAGTAGCCCAACATTCAACCTTCGCAGCATAGGTAGTATGACGCGTCGACATACTTTAATGTTGAAAAGGATTGCTGCATTCCTGTTGATGAATGCAGGGCGCAGCCGTTGAAGTTCTAGGTGCACTTCGTTGATTTTCTGTACATAATTCGAGCTTTCCCGGCTTTCAAATCTTCTTCAATTGCTCCGAAAGAGTTGAGTTGTGCACATATTTGCTTCCATCAACCAACCCCCCAACCCCTCCTCCACTCCTCTGCCCCTTCAATTCATCGCCATCAATAATTAAAGAAGGTTCGCCACATCCCTCACCTTTAAACTTAAATTTTCCACGATGAAATTCTTTTGGAATCAATGTTGCGCTGTGAATTCGTTAAAACTTTTTTTTGGCAACATTTCTCATTAATATCTGAAACTGTTTGCGCTGCACACCACTGAGTATGAACACGAAGAAGTAGATTTCTCGAAATTGCTCTTCCAACATCTTTAATTCTAATCTTCAAAAAGGTCAAAAACACATTATTACGCAATGATATGGAGCCAAAGTGCATGAAGTGAGGCTTGTAATGGTACATAATACTACAACATTCAAAAGAAAAAACTACTGCTAAAAACGAACAAGGAAAGTGAGATTACAAGTCCGACGTTAATTCCCGAGCAACCCAGTAAATTGCTGAAAGCGATTTTATGTTGACATGTGCTACGACAACACTAAATTCTACAAGTTAAGACAATGAAACGGACTAACCTGTTCCTCTGGTACGGCAGAATGATTGACAACAGTCAAACGGGACACAAGTTTTGGAATGCGCTGAGAAGTTAAGAAGAGTGATACAAGAGGTAGTGCTAGAATCTAAATAAAGTTACCTGTCTAGATTTACGACCTGCAACTGTGGAGTCATGGTCGAGCAACACACTCTTCCTTGAATGTTTCTGAGGTTTTGCCACATTCTAATGAAGAACAGTACTAGTACCATATACCAGAATCTTGGATGAAGCAAAGGAAATTGAAAACAAACCTTGACATGTTTTTCTCGCTTTTTTCCAGTTATCTAAAAATGACAATAACATTAATGTGCGTATAACAACGAAACTATCATACTACTATACTGCTAACAAAAACCATACCACAATAATTTCATTGTCATCGTCCGGATATAACACGTCTTTCCTTTTACTTTTCGCTTTTGGTTGCGTTATAGGAGCAGAATTTTGCTAAAGAAGAAAGAAAAAAAACACGTACTTCTACAGGTCCCATAAAAAATAACTCACTGAATTGTGATTATGAAGAGCACTTTCGTATTCCGAAACAGATGCAGAGTGATTCCAGGATGCTGGGAACGCTTGAGATCGTCTCCATTGACCCACTTCCTTTCCTATTTTTTTCCCTTGTTTGCCAACTATTGATTGCACATCCCAGACAGTTCCGGCTTTCGGAGATCCAGACCTACGCACTTCAGCACCTGATCTCGTCTCTGTGGAAATCCTGCCCAACTGGGAAATAAGATTACCGGGAGGGCGATCTCTTATAAGTAATGTCCCATCTGGCAATCTTTTAACTCGGCGTAACTGACCATGTTCATCTCTCAAAAGAACGATGTCTTTCTGGGGTTTTTGAGAGGATGTAACACGGGACGATAACGCCCCTTGAGTATTCCTTGGAGAGTTGTTTTGATCTGAGAGCTGGGACTGGCCCTTATTAGTCAACGACGCAGAGCACTTCTCCACTTGCTGGACACTACTCTGATTCTCATCGGTTATTTCTGTTGCAGGAGCTGAGGTAGGCATACACTCTGTAGGAAGATCAACCAAAATTTGCTCAGAAGAAGTACATCCCCTATCCTCTAGAGCAGGTACTGAGTTTGTACCAAATGTTTGAGTAGCTGGCCTTCCACTAGAAGCACTTCGACGATAATTAGAAGCTGGTGCTTCACGGCGTCCAGACGAATGGCTACGAGGATATACATGGTCAGAACGAATTAAGGAAGAAGTGGTAGTAGTTAGTGCATTCCCTGTCAGCACTCCTGGCCTTCGTGTAACCTCTGTAGCAGGGACATTTGTTAATAACGGCGCTCTGACTGCACCATAATTAAACGGAAAATTTTGCTGTGATGTAGATGATGCTGCAGCTGTTGAATTATGAGTAAATCGGGGTGCTTGGTCGATCCTCGATATCCGTGCTGCCTGTGGACGACCACCAGGTGTCCAGTTATATGAACCTCCTCCTCTTCTTGCCGAATCCGCCATCTCGCGAAGGGTATGGAGTGGTCGTTGCACATACCTAAATGGCAAAACATAACATTCATAATCTATCCACTTGACAGGACATTTACCGTTGGCGCTCAGTGGATGCATGATCCAGACCACGCAATTCATCCAGTGAGACTACGTAACGACCTGTTGCGAGATCTATTGCTGGCTGAAATTTGTGGCATTAGTATTCCACATAAACATCTCCAATGGAACCCACCTCAATAGTTCTGTTAGCAATCATGCGTATCGCTTTAGATGCAGTTGATCTTTGGTGGCGTAGTGTCCTAAAGGTGTGGACTCATCTATGGAATAACACAATAAAAAGTTTTGGTCACTCTTTCATTATGATTAAAGAACTCAAGACAAGACAATACAATATCTATTCCCACCACAAGAGAGTAACAAACGAAAATCGCCTGGAGTTGACATGAACAAATAGAAATGGCATACTTTGAAGGACCATCAGGTATGCGACAAGTCAATGACTGCGAAACAGAAGATGTCTGGCGCACCGGTTCCTGAGATTAATACGAAAACATGGAGATACTCTTATCATTGAATAACCTCTACACTCACCTCACACTGTAAAGAAACTTGTTCACGATTAACGAACGCATTATTCACCAATCGCTTTATGCTCACTCTTTTGTTATGTTCATAAGCCTCTAGACGTGGTGTACCAAGATCATGAGGTACTACTACTGGCTGCAAAGGAATGCACAGCTAACGTATACATATATATATTTGCTAATAGCACATAACTAATATGAACAACATACTTCGCTCGTAGAAGCATCACCAGCAAGTGGTTTTAGCGTAGTCATAGATGGACCTGGAAGCGTAGTGAAAGGAGAATGCGAAGAAGTAGGCTTTGTTGAAAACATTTTCATCTGAGTCGCAATGGAAGATCTCAGTGGTTGGAAACCCCGTGGGATACCCTGTAAAGTTGCACATTACCACAACCAAACACCATATAACTTTAAAAAACTATACTTTATATTGAATCCTTTGTTGTTCAGCATAGTCGGGAGGTGGTTTCTGAGTTGGCTTTGGGCCACGTCTAATAATTGGTGCTCGACCATGACCACTTCCGGTATTGGCATAAAAGCTGTAGAAGTTGGAGTTTCATCTACTACTAAAAATGCATGAAGGACTCTAGCAAAGCACCAACCATTTCCTTTCAAAGATCTGCATTAACCGATTCGAAAGCTGTCGAAACTCACTACGCATGGTACCATCCCACCTAAACTTTTCGAAATACTACACGTTACATAATTTCGAAATTAAACAAATATAACAATAACAGAAAATTCACTTACTCTTCATAGTCAGGAAACAAAGGAAATACTTTTCCAAACTGTATATCCTGGATGTAACGAGTTTGATCTATAATATATCGCATCGTTATAGTTATATAATAGCACCGCAAACGGAATATTTTCTTCTTTACAGCAGATTTTCACATGGTTCATTAATTGCGGCCAAAACATAGTAGTTTGGCCAATTTCACTTTCACTGGTAAACAGACTTCATGTTCCCTTTCAAAACGCTAGATAGATAAGGAACTGTAGTTCAAATCTGTAACCTTTCAATACGACTAAAAACGTTATTGTATATTTTGTGCTAAATAAAAGGCATGAGCTAATTCGACTGACATTGGTCTGATTCATGCATTTCGGACAAATTACTGATGCATATGCTGATTCAAGTATTTCAGAAAAATGCGTTCCAAAACCAACCATGACTAGGACGATCTCTTGTATCAATCACAGTGCGGAAGAACCCATGGATGTGAGCTCCTCTAGAATGAAATCGATACAAATCACTGGCGAATGCTTCCACAGGTTTATATCTCGTATCAGCTTCCAGAAGAGCCACGTTCGCAAATGGAAAGTAACGATCACACGCTTTTTTATAGTTGACTAGTAGGTATTCCTTCTTCTCTGTAGGTGAGAGATTTGGCGGAAAATATGCTAAAAATAATATTAGTGCAGGAAAAATAATCGTAACAAGAGTGATGCACATGAGGATTTCAAACTATTTCAACTTAAAAAGATCTGTGCCGTCATGTCCTCCAGGCCGAACTAAATTCGAATCCAGACCACTTTCTCGTCCAAGTATGATCGACATTGGATGAACTGTTCGGCTACTCACAAATGTCTCTTCACTGCTAATTTCAGAAAGCTACACTGAACAACAATCACGTTCAGAGGATATCATCAGTTTCCGGATACACATGATGACGCGATATTGAGAGCTATGGTCTGACAACTCCGTATTTCAAAGCGTACATTTATGTTATTCCATATGCAAAAAATGTTTAACGCTGCTATTTATTTATCTTTGGTAAACATGGAAGACATTTGTCGTGACCGTCGTAAAAATCGCGGTATAAGTTGTATCGTTAGATACTATAAATGAAGGCCAAAATTTTCATACAACGTATTTGTGCTAATACTCACGTCGCTGGATGGTTTTTGGTGGCCGTAAATTTGACTGCTCTTGCCGATCTCCTGCAAGTATAATAGCTTCTCTTTCGTCTGGACCTCCAATGAAGTATTCGTGGTCCTCTAATTCGACGCCATCCCATTCTCCCTCATCGTATTCCTATGAAGCCATGACAATGACATGCATAAAATGATAGTCCTTAGTACGGAATCACCATCATTTCATGCCCAACCAACCTGTACAAGGTAAGCAAGTGATTCATCTTCCAATTCTCCATATAATGGACGACGGGGTTGTGATTTCGACCTCGACCGTAAAACTGGGACATTATGTGGAGGTTCACCTATAGGTTGATTTGATGGTCCTTCAAACATAGCTGCCGGTCTGACCTCGTACTGCACAGAATGATTCGGCTGCATTTCCAACGTCGAAAGCGAATTTTGAACGATATATTGTACTCTATTACCACCCGGAATTGTTTCTATGTGACGAGGACGTCCTGTCTGAGCAAAGTTGTTGGAATTTGACCGGAACTGCTGTTGTGGGTAAGCAGGAACAACTTCTTCAGGGACAGCAGCAACATACTGCTGAGGCTCTACAGTGTTACCTAACATGTCGTCAATTACAACTTCATTAGCCGCCACTTGTAGACTTTCAACCGAATTCCTCCTTTCCATATCCCTTTCCGCATCATTAAGCAGATAAACCTCTTCAGTATGGTCCAAATGCTGAAACGAGCACCTTCGCATTAAAACAGTAACTTTAGAAAATCCCGGAAGTCCACGAACAAACCTGTCCAACATTGTGCAGGTCTTGAAATTGATACACATCTTCGTATACCACGTGTGACAGCGGTTGTACCCATTCGTTGTCATCTGTGACCATATATTGTGGAAAAGTTGGATTTCCTACAACCTCTCCACTACTGCTAGGATCAACGTGTTCACTGTAGCACTCATGAGCCTCGTCGCCCTCCACACGTTGTCCTCCTGGATCGATATCGGGTTCATTGGACATACCGAAAACTGAAATAACAGAGTGCTGCTGAGTTTTCATGATTTCCCTAACGTCTAGCATGTATTATAACATCCTCCACACATGGCTAAAATTGGATGGAAATTCGACAGCGATCTCGATTTATGCTCGGTTTGGTGGGGGGAATCTTGTAAAGAGAATTATACCAGCAGTTATGAATGGAAAATGAGAAATTTATCAAAAGACCTGGTAAAGGAACCTGTCATCTATGCCAAGAAAATGGAAACCAGGTCGAAATCCGCGAGAGCAGCATTTGCGAAAATACTTTAAAATGCAATGCCACGGGACACGATGTCTCATCGGTCAATTCTTCACTGAATTTTATGAGAAGTGCTTTCGATTTTGGAAAGCTCGCAATATATCACAATAAAAGGCGCATTTCTTGGGGAAATAACACGAAGAACGGCCTTTAAGCATCATGTCACGAAATAAAACAATAAGAAAGGTAAATATGAAGGGTAGTTGTTGGCGTTGGCTTATAGGGTACGACGTCGAGGACACCAGAGTCAATAGCAGAACACGGGTCCTGAAGAGTCAGAGGCCGGCAGAAATCGTCGACAGAAGATAGAAGCGCCACATGCACAGGGAGGTCGAGTGAAAAGCAGTGTGGGACCCAGTGGATGGGCAAGCAACAGCAAGCAGAGAGAGCCTGAGGGAGTCGAAGCCGATGGAGGCATCGGCGGTCCTGAGACGATTTACGGCCCGAGAGAGCCGGCGCATGACAGTAGTGGGAAAGTAGGGACGAGCAGCACGCACGCGTACCGTGCGACGCCACGTCCAGCCAGCAGCACTTCATGCTAGGGACACGCCTGTTTTGCACTCCTGAATTCGGCATCCTCTGTTGAGCTGTGTAGCTTTAGTGTCTTCCACGCTCAGTACATCAACCACTAACCCGCTATAAATCCGATGAGAGAACAAAACAACCAAAGGTAATGCTCTCATAGTGAACTGGTTTTCTGGTCTCATAATCGTATATGCAACTGTTTTGAACTACTCCAGTACTTATAATAATTCAAGGAAATAGTTCTGCAGTTGTTTTCTTCTTCAGTGTTCGGGTTTGTCGATAAGGTTTTATGCGGTAGTTACGAGCTTGTATTATGTCCGACTTTTCGGATTCCTACGCTGTTCCACCATACTCGATTCAACTTGGTTTGACGACGACGACGAAGAGCACTGCAAGAAAAGGCAAATGATGTGGGATCAACTGTCGTCCCACTGGTCATCGAGTGAATCAAGTAGGCGTCAGTAAATTTCCCATTTCTCCTTGTCGTGTGCAAACTCTTGCATGCCCAGTGGATTCTGCTGGCTCTGGCGATCTGTTGAACACCGTTTCTTTTGGTTTTCGCGAATAACTCTGACCGTCGGGTCGTTGTTCTTCCTGTCGTGCGTTTGACATCGCGAGTAATCCAGTCACTAACGACGCTTGTACATCAGCTGTCGACCATATGAATAACGTGTCCACTCCATCCATTTTATCTTCCACAGTTTAGCGTGTAAAACACCATCGTTGATTTTTCATCGTCAACGTGGTTCAGACCTTCGGACCCCTTTCCTCAAATGTATGGTACGGGATAGTCGTAATATCGTCCTTTCGACTGCGCATTTATAATACTGGGTGGTGTTTCATCCTGCCTTCCTAGCTACCAGGTTTCTGACGCATACGTTAGGGCAAGAAGAGTAGAAAAGGGACCAGGAGGAGGATAGTAGGGATCAGCGGCATGCACGCGTCCCGTACGACGCTACGTCCAGCCAGCAGCACTGCCTGCCAAGCACGCGCCTGTTCCGCACTCCAGAGTTCGACATCCAATGTTAAGCTGTGAAGCTGTGGTGTCTTCTATGCTCACTACATCAATCATTGAGCCACTATAAATCCGATACAAGAACAAAACTTAGCCAAAGGTAATGTTTTCGCGAACTGTGAACAAGTTTTCTGGTCTCATTATGGTATATTCAACTGCTCTGAAGTACTCCAATATATAAGTAATTCAAAGAAATAGTTCTGCAACTGTTTTCTCTTCAGTGTTCGGGTTTGCCGAAAAAGTGGCATAGGGTGGTTACAAGCTTGTATTATTGGCTAACTCTTCGGATTCCTGCGGTGTTCCACTACACTCGATTCAAATTGTTTTGACGACGACGAAGAAGAGCACTGCAAGAAGAAGCAGATGATGTGGGATTATCTATCGTCCCACTGATCATCGAGTTTACGAAACAGGCGTCAGTAAATCTTCCAATTCTCCCTGTCGTATGCAAACTCATGCATGCCTAGTGGGTTGTGCTCGCTCTAGGGACATGTGTAACATCATAACTTCTTTTAGTTTCCGGAAGAACTCTGACTGTCGGGTCGTCGATGTTCCTGTTGTGCGTTTGGCATCGCGAGGAATCCAATCACTAACAACGCTTGTCCATCAGTTATCGATCATATCATTAACTTGTCCGGTCCACTTTGTCTTCGACAGTTTAGTGTGTAGAACACCGTCTTTGATTTTTCATCAACGTAATTCAGAGCTTCGGATCCCATTCCTCAGTTGCATGACACGGGCTACTCCTGATATCGTCCTTTTGGCTGCGCATTCTATAACGCTGGGTGGTGTTTCATCCTGCTTTTCTAGCGACCTGGTTTCTGGAGTCGAAATGGTGGGCACCGAAGCGGGTGTTCTTTGTTTTCTTCACGATATCCTCGATGCTCTTGGAACCTGTCCAAGCCGCTCGGTTATTGCTGCTCAACTCTGGAGCTAAGTAGTTAATCATGTTGATTTACCAACCTAGGTAGGCACAGCTGGAGCATTCGGAGCTGTTCGTAGCATTATTTGTGAATNCAAAAGCTTTAATTAAATAGATAAAAGTGAGATATAGCGGTCTCCTTTTGGCATCGCGAGGAATCCAATCACTAACAACGCTTGTCCATCAGTTATCGATCATATCATTAACTTGTCCGGTCCACTTTGTCTTCGACAGTTTAGTGTGTAGAACACCGTCTTTGATTTTTCATCAACGTAATTCAGAGCTTCGGATCCCATTCCTCAGTTGCATGACACGGGCTACTCCTGATATCGTCCTTTTGGCTGCGCATTCTATAACGCTGGGTGGTGTTTCATCCTGCTTTTCTAGCGACCTGGTTTCTGGAGTCGAAATGGTGGGCACCGAAGCGGGTGTTCTTTGTTTTCTTCACGATATCCTCGATGCTCTTGGAACCTGTCCAAGCCGCTCGGTTATTGCTGCTCAACTCTGGAGCTAAGTAGTTAATCATGTTGATTTACCAACCTAGGTAGGCACAGCTGGAGCATTCGGAGCTGTTCGTAGCATTATTTGTGAATGGGACATACGAAACCATTCCGTTCCTCATGGACATCACTTTTGTGGGACTTAGTTGAAGACCAATAGTTCCACATACGTTAACAAAGTCAGTAACTATTCGTACCTTCTGAACAATGCTTGGTATTATGAGAAAGAGTTCATTAGCAAAGCCAAAGTGGTGTAATTGCTAACCATCGATTTTCAATCCCACATTGTCCCATTAAAATGTTCGCATAAAGTTCTTGAGTGTGACGGTAAATAATTTTGGCGAAATGCTATCGCCTTGCATAACTCCCCTGTTGTTGTTGATTTTAGTATCACCATAAAATGTTGGTACTTTGGTTGAGAAATTTTTATATAGCCCATGAACAACCTTTACATACTGAGTAGTGACGCCCTGGCTACCCTGGACTTCCATGGCTGCTTCTATCTTAACTAAGTCAAAAGCTTTCCTTAAATCGATAGAAGGAAGACAGAGCGGTTTTTTATACTTTCGCGATACTTCATTGAGTCTTGTTATCGTGTGAATGTGGTCCATCGTGCTAAATCCTCTTCGAAACTCTGCTTGCTCACATGGCTGTCCTTCGTCCAGTGTTTTGTCAATTTTGTTTAGGTTGATTCGAGTGAACAGTTTGTAGACGACAGGTAGCAAGAAATTGGATGATCGTTGCCGATATCTTGGAGGTCACCCTTTTTGAACAATAATACGATCTTGTTGGTTTTCTACTGAATAGGAACCTTGCAATCTGACATTGAACATGTGAAGGGCCGAGTCAGTGTTGTTTACGAAGATTGACTTCCTCAGGTGTTCGAATCGCATGATCCCCTACCAGATGTGTGGTTCTTCACCGACGAAATAGCATTTCGGATTTCAGAAGTGAGAACCGCTGGGGCGACATATCCATTCTCCTTGATTTCATATGCGGGCAAGACAACGTGGATAATGAAGAGATTCAAGTCGTGATCGTGAATGATTTTCTCCATTGCCTTTCTGGAAGCTCTAACTCTTCCATCCGGGCAGCGAACTGGCATGATTTGGGTTTTGTAGCTGATGAAGTTTCACCGGGCTTTGAGAGCGCTTTTCCTAGCCTTTTCGGCTTAGATCATAACCGCTGCTCTTTCTTTAAAATCTTCTTTTACTGCCTGTTCGCATTGTTTTGCAAGTGTGAGTTGGCGGTAGTCTGCAGCTTGTGCGTTGGTGCATCGGCTCTAGTGTTTCTGGAGACAGACATCTGTCGGAAACTTCCGATGTCTAAGCTTTAACAGCGCTAACGTGAATTTGTAGGATGATCCGATCGTATTCTTCGTCGATGTTATCGACAACGGCACCTTCCTAACAGCCGACTAGCAAAATGATTAAATTCCTGTTTATGTTGGTTTTTGAACTTCGTTTTTTGAAGTTAGCGGCTTCTTATCCTTTTCGCAAGGAACGAAATATCACGCAAAGGAGGTGATGATCTAATCCTATGTACAATTTTGGGTCAACAACGACATCGGTTGGGGAACCCCTTCGATTTACCATAATGTGGTTTATTCCGTTATGGTACTCACCATTGGTAGACTCTCACGTCCAGCGCTGAGTGTGTCGCTCCTGGAATTGCGAGTTACCACGAATGGTTCTGTTCGTCATGATAAACTCAGACAGCCACTTACCTGTTCGTTCCATTCTAGTGCGTGGGTCACAGTGTGACCCTGTTCAGATGTTCTGGGTGCAATCTTAACGTTAGGATCTTCAATGATGACCTTAAAAATGCATGGTCTTCTCTGTAGCACCTTCCCAAATCTATGTAATAGGATGCATCGACTTCGTTTTCGCCATAACTTCTCGGCGTGTAGACAACAAAGAATGTCAAAGCAGATATTGATCCACATCTCTTTAACCGCAAGCTTCCGCTTCGAGTAATTGCTTCTCCATTGAACCACTGCCGTGGCCATGATTTCTGGCCAAACTGGTGTTGACAAGAACGCCGACGCTGCCGACTTCTGTATTGTCCTATGTTTCGAGAAATAGTTCTCCGATATAGTAGACGGCGTTTAATGGGTGGCGTCTTCTCGTCTCGGCCAATCCGATGATGTCGTACCATATCCTTCTTGCTTCACAATCAAGTCTACTATTCAAATGCAAGTGAGCATGCATTATAGGTACGCATCACGACCTGTTTTTTGTGATTTATGTAGCCGAGAATGGCCCTGAGATTTTAGCAGCCTTCCTTCACTCGTCCTAACCATCGCTACCATATCGAGGGCTCTTTTGGGTTCATGGAATGGGGTTCCATTATTTTACTGTGTTCAGGATCGATACCCACGTATGCTAACTGAGCTGTTAATCTGGGGGATGAATATACCCGCTTGTAGTTTGACACTCTCTTCCAGAGTAGATTCTTGGAGACGACTCGAAACGGATTCCCATGTACTTCCCAATCACTTGCATGCAGGCATTTGGCAGAATTGACTCGTAGAATACAATCCGCTTAAACGAAAACACACACGCGCACATATGCATGAACACATCCGCGCAGATACAGAAGGTACGTGTGATATCGGCGCAACAGAAACAGGAAGTCCATCACTTTGGATTCACCCCAGTCTAATGGAAACACGAGGTCGCATTTGGTCTGCGTTTCACGCCGCTATCCGCCACCTGAGAAGTGCCACGTTGTTTCGCGACCAACCAGTATGAGATCATTCTATATGAGAGATCGGTGCCGCCAGAACGTTAGCCCTGATAAAGATTCGTAACAGTATCGCTCAATCACTTTTTTACTCTACCAGTGTTATCAGCAATCACCCGTCAACGGGAATGATCTGATGAATACGAATCGGCATTGAACCCAGATAAGCTGAAGCTCCAGTCGACATGACATGGTACGACGTGAATTACAACCACAAAGTGCTCAGAGAGGAGCAAAACTCAGAATCTCAGTTGGGCTTCGAACACGCGATTATCCTTACCGGGGGCTGACTTGCTAAGTTATAACATTGTGATTTTGACTATAGTCTCAGTTTAACTGGGTCCAATGCCGACTTTTACTTCCTGGATTCATGCCGTTGTTGCGTGATTGCTGATAACACCGGTTGAGTAAAGTCTCTGTTGATGTGGTAGAAAACATTTGAGCCCCGGTAACGGTAATCGCGAGTTCGAAGCCCACTTGAGGCTCCAAGTTTTGGTCATGTATCAGCATCTTTGGCATTGCAGTTTACGTCGTACCGTGCCATGAAATAAAGAAGAGAATAAGCAGTAAAAACAAAATCAGGCAAAAAAATAAAAATCTGGAAAAAATACTTAAGTAAAAAACAGTAATAAAAAACAAAACTAAAAAAAAGAATAGAGCTCTCGGCGTTGATCAATTCCTGAGAGATGCGCCATGCATTCGACTTCATTAAGCATCGTTTGGAGGTGGTTGAATGAAATATGGCCTTTATAATAACTCACGATGGCTTACCGATGTATCAAGCCAGTACTGCTATCCTCCCAGACAAGTCTGGTACCAATTTGCCGACCCCTGAAGGATGGAAGGCTTGGTGGGCCACAGGCGCGGCCATCGATTACACGTGTGTGTCGCAGTGGCGCCTCCAACCACTGCGCCACACGCGCCCCTTAGTGAAAAATAAAAAACAGAATTGAAGAATAAGCAGTAAAAACAGTTAAAACACTGGAGAAAAACCTATCTCCTGTCCAGGTAAAAGTACAGTTTCATGGTGCTGTAGACCTTCAACGATCCATAGATTCTTCAGTCTTTCACCCAAATTAATAAAGTTAACTCTAAACTGAAATATATTTCTATGAAATTGATAAGGTAAGATAATAAAAGTCATATATGAACCACATCGGAGTAATCTTATCGTGATTGTGATAGTCACATCTACATCATTTCAAAGTTAGTTGACGTTTATTTACGTAAGTACTGCTGCGCTAAATGCTCACAGTCAGAGAAATAGGATTTGTGGAGCGTTCAAATGGAATCACTGCCGAAAAGGGGTTAGTAAATGAGTGTCACGGTGGGTTAAGAAAATACTAGAACAAGTGCCACCCAGATGATGTAGCTTCGTCAGGAAGATTCAAGACAAAGAATATGATGACTTTGTACCCTTGAACAAGAGGAACCCACTTAACAAATCAGGACTTGATAGGAACAAATGGAAACTAGTGACGAACTCACGAAACAACTACCGATGGACATGAGCACAGGATAGTGGTTGAATTTTCTTTGATTTACGACGTATGAAGATGAGGAGTTTCCGCACTTATCTTGGGCTTAAACTTGCTTTTCCCAAAAGCACAATGTCATTATTGTACACAATTAAAATACCGTTTAAAAAGCCGATGTAAGAGGCTTTCTTACTCCATTTATAGACTGTTATTCATCTTCACTACTCCAGAAAAATCTGTTGGAGCACAAGAAAGTAATAAATAGTGCAAAAATAAACTTTTCTTAAAGGCTTCTCTTAATGCCAATTCGTTCTATTTCACTTAGAACTTTCGCTATACAACTATAACTTCCAAATGGATCAGAAGGTTCGAAGCGTCACCTGCAGTAAAGCATTCCGTTTCCAATTTCACCTACATTTCAAATTTAGCACCTATACTCTTCGTTGATGCGACGTCATCCGCAATGTCCCTCTGCCATTTTCCTTTTTATCTGAAATTTGTATGTTGTAATTAGTATGCTATAAAGAATAATACCATTACACTGAGGTTATCAAAGTAAAACGCGATTTCAACTACAGAATTATGCTGAGTATGGGACAACATTAATGTATCGCACCTTAATATCTAAGACACCTGCTTCCTAAACCATGCAGTTGGCTACTTTACACAACCACCTATGGTCGGCCATAAAATAGTCTGAAGAAAGTGAATAAACCGAAATGGAAACAAAGAACAAAAGAAATGAAGCAAAGCTTGGACTCACGGCATGAAAAAACTCCATTGTAGCCAAC